CTACCTACAAGGCACCAAGACGCATGGAATTTGCTACAAGCCAAGTGCAAGGATCGACTTCCGTGGATATTCGGATGCGGATTGGGCTGGTGATCTTACCGACCGCAAGTCAACATCGGGGTACACGTTCATGCTACTCGGTGCGCCAGTCAGTTGGGGCAGCAAGAAGCAGCCAAGTGTTTCGTTGTCCACGAGTGAAGCCGAATACATCGCACTCAGCTTGGCGATTCAAGAGGGCAAGTGGATTCATCGTCTGCTTTGTGAGATCGTGATGGCTGCCAATGAAGAAGGACCGGAACTCATGATCCATGAAGACAATCAGTCGTGTATCAAGATGACGAAGAACCCAGTCAACCACGGCCGTGCCAAGCACATTGATATCAAGTACCATCACATCCGTGATGAGGTCAAGCGCGGTGAAGTGAAGCTCAAGTACTGTGAAACTGCGGTGATGTTAGCGGACATCATGACGAAGGGACTTCACGGGCCACGCCACAAGGAGATGACGGCGACTCTCGGGATTCGTGAGCATTCGGATTGAGGGGGCGTGTTGACGGTCATCGGTTTTCTACCAGTATTGGTAACCGTGACCGATCCAATCCGAACCGCCTGTTCAGCTTAGTATTTACGACGTAGTTCTTACGGTAATTACCATAGTTGATTAGACGCGTAGGATGATGAGACGCTTCACATGATTTATATGTACACCACATATAAATCATGTAGTAAGTAGTAAGCCCCGATAATCAATCACTTTCGAATCTTCCAACTATTGGGAAAGTGTTTTCTGCTCTACTCTCTTCGGTCTCTCCGCTCCGTTTGCTCCGCTTTCCTCGCTCCGATCTACAATGCAACACGAAGTCGCATTGACTCGAGCTCTGCATGAATTGCTTTTCTCCAGTGCACTTGGTCAGGGCCGCTTACTGCTGCTTCAAATGTTGAGGGTTCTGATAAGTCCACTGCTGCTTCAACGGCATTTGCACTCGCACGCCAAAACACAGGCGGTGTTGAATCACCAGAATCCTTCGTTTCTTCGTCTTCTTCTTGTCGTGACGAGTTGTTTTCCGGCGCGCTTGACTCTTCTAGTCCTGGTCGTTGACGCACTGCACGCGGTCGTGGAGCTGCTGTATCTTCATCATTGAGTCGGTTCTTGCGCTTGCCTGTTTGCTTGTACTCCATTTGACGCAGCTCTTCGTCATCAAGATCCAGCAATTCGAAGTCCAGGTCATCGACATCTTCATCAGTGATCGGCAGTTGAAGTCCAAAGGTGGACTCGTCGAAGTTGACATCGCGGCTGATAACCACCTGCCCCGCCTCGATGTCATAAACACGATATGCCTTCGAAACTTCTTCGTAGCCCACGAATATGCCAGCGCGAGCCTTTGGATCCCACTTGAGTCGATTCTCTTTAGGCGTCAGTATGTATGTCTGACACCCGAATGTTCGCATGTGCTTGACGCTTGGTTTCAAGTTGTAGACGATCTCAAACGGGGTCTTGTGCACGACTTTAGGTGACGGCAGTCGATTCTTGACGTAGATGGCCGTCATCGCTGCTTCGGCCCAGAAACACTTGTCCAGTTTGGCATGATGAAGCATGCTGCGGCCGATCGTGACAATAGTCCTAATGGCACGCTCTGCTGTTCCGTTTGTTTGATGTGCATACGGCACCGTTGTCTGCTGTTCAATGCCTTCGTCTTCGTAGAACAGTTGAAGCGAGTTGGTTGCAAACTCGCGAGCTCCGTCGTGTCGCACGAACTTGACCTTCTTACAGAATTGCGTCTGTACCATGGTGATATATTTCCGGATGTAGTCTTCACTCTCGGACTTCACTCGTAGACAAAAGCCCTTCATGCATCCACTGGCTTCGTCGATGATCAGCAGCAAATATTTGCTGCCACCGAGCGAATCCTTTTCCATGGGCCCGCAGATGTCCAGATGAAGTAGCTCAAACGTATCGTAGCTGCGCTTGTCTCGGTTGCTTGGAAATGGTTTTTGGACCATTTTCCCTTGTTGACATCCTCGACATGTAGTTGCTCCACCCGACTTGAGAGGGACTCGCACATCCTTGATCATGTTGGTCGCGATCATCTTGCGAAGTACATCGACTGGAGCATGACCCATTCTCGCATGTAGATCGGCACAACTGGTTCCACTTGTTGTCACATTCGCTGATCGTTGAGTCGTCCGGAAGCCAGTAGAGTCCATCCACGAGATCCGCTGTCGCCACCACTTGCTGTGAGTTCTTGAGAGTCACATACATCTTGGACCCGTCAAACACGACTTGAAACTTGCCATGGCTGTTAATCTGTGGCACCGAGAGCAGGTTCTTGCTCATACTTGGAACATATAGCGCGTTCTTGATTTCGATCTCACGCTCTTCACCGTTGGGCAGAACCACCTTTTCCATGATGGTTCCCACACCCTTGATGGCCACCTTGTTGCCATCAGCCACCAAGAGTTCGCCCTCATTGCGCTCTGCCAAACTTGCGAACTTGGTCTTGTCGTGGCAAATGTGGTGCGTTGCACCACTGTCGACGGCCCACATTCCAGACACGTCCTTGCTCGTCGAAACTCCACATTCGAACGAGACTGCAAACGCCACTCGATCGTAGCCATTGCCTTCATCATGATGTCCCCACTGGACATTGTTAGCCCCCGCGTCCACGACCATTGCCGCCGCGTCGGGCTCCCCGACCTTCGTTCTTCTGCTTTGTCCAGCAACGATCCACCGTGTGTCCCACCTTGCCACAATACGTGCATTGGTAGGGCTCACGCTCGGCGCTGAATGCCTTGCTTGCATCTTCAGCCTTCACCGTAGTCGCTGTCGTTGTCCCTTTTTCTCCTTGACGCTTGGCATGCTCATTCGTCAGGACTCTCACCACATCTTGAGTGCGAAGCTCGGTGCTGCTCATTTCCATGTTGAGCACCACATTTTTCGTAGCTCTTCGGAAGACTGAGTAGCAGACAAATTGCAACGTCTTCGTCTTCCATCTTCGCACCGATGCCGCTAAGCTTGGCGGAGATGTTGAGGACCTCGTTGCAGTGATGCATGACGTTCGCGCCTTCAGCCATCTTGATACTGAAAAGTTGTCGCTTGAGGTAGATGCGTCCTGCCTTCTGCGACCCACCGTACAGCGTCTTCAGACTTGTCCACGCAACCCAGGCTTCCTCGCAGTTGTCCAGCACATGATGGTAGTCCGCGTTCATGTGCAGCAGCATCATACCAAACGCGACGTTGCTTGCCTTGACGTAGTCATCGGACGCTCGCGGGTCGGTGAAAGTCGGAGTCACTTCACGGTTGACAACGTGCCAGACGGACTTCGTCAAAAACACACCGCGCATGTACCGGCTCCACGTTGCGTAATTGTCTCCGTTGAACTTGTCAATGGAGGCGTTGCTGGTGGACGACATGGCGCTTGGGCTCATAACCTGTTGCATTGTAGATCGGAGCGAGGAAAGCGGAGCAAACGGAGCGGAGAGACCGAAGAGAGTAGAGCAGAAAACACTTGCCCAATAGTTGGAAGATTCGAAAGTGATTGATTATCGGGGCTTACTACTTACTACATGATTTATATGTGGTGTACATATAAATCATGTGAAGCGTCTCATCATCCTACGCGTCTAATCAACTATGGTAATTACCGTAAGAACTACGTCGTAAATACTAAGCTGAACAGGCGGTTCGGATTGGATCGGTCACGGTTACCAATACTGGTAGAAAACCGATGACCGTCAACAGTGTCAGCGGCTGCAATGGATTTTGAAGCAGCCTACATCGTTGATTCAGTGGGGGAAACGCCGACTACATTCAAGTCGGCGATGGAATCAAGCGACTCCGGCAAGTGGAAAGAAGCGTGTGACTCGGAGTTCGATTCGCTTCAGAGAAACGACACGTGGGAAATCGTGCCTCTTCCGAAAGGTCGCAAGGCCATCGGGTGCCGATGGGTTTTTCGTGTAAAGGAGAATCAAGATGGCGAAGTTGAACGTTTCAAGGCAAGACTTGTGGCCAAAGGATTCTCACAGAAATTCGGAGTTGACTATGAAGAAACTTTCGCACCGGTGGCCAAGTTCACATCGATTCGTGTGGTGCTCAGTATGGCGGCTAAGTACGGCCTAATGCTACATCAGATGAACGTCAAGACAGCGTTTCTTAACGGCTCCCTCAACGAAGACATCTACATGGACCAGCCGGACGGATACCTGGATACAACACAGCCGGACTATGTGTGCAAGCTAAAGAGATCACTCTACGGCTTGAAGTGATGAACTTTAGACTTCTTGGTCCGAGTGCAAAACGCAAAGTGAATATATATTTATAATAGGTACTGAGTTCGCAGCTTTGAATACTACCTCTAAGCCTATTATTCGCAGTGACGTCATTCAGTGACGTCACCCACTGACGTCACCCACTGACGTCATGCAATGACGTCATCCAGTGACGTCATTTCCTGACTTCGCCCTTACTGGTACATACCGGTACCCACCGGTATAGCGAAGCTTGGTCTTCCACTTGCCTCAACACTTGACGCAGCTTGACGAGGTGTCTTCTTCACAGCCGCTGTCTTTTCAACACTCCCTCTCGACTCGTTAGCTGCGGCACCTTGGATCCCAAGTCGATCGCGAATGTTTTCAAATTGTACAGCGGCGATCGGCTTGGTCATCATGTCTGCCAGCATATCTTGAGTCGGGCAATACTCCAAAACGACTTCACCTGATTCCACCTTCTCACGCACAAAATGGTAGCGTATGTCGATGTGTTTTGTTCTCTTATGGAACTCCGGGTTCTTGGCGAGAGCGATTGATCCTTGGTTGTCTTCATACATCTTGATCGCTCCGTCGCTTGTCATCTCACCAAGTTCCCCCAAAAGCACTTTGAGCCATACTGCTTCTTTGGTTGCTTCGGAAAGCGCCATGTATTCTGCTTCTGTTGAAGATAGCGCGACCGTCCGTTGTTTCTGGCTTTTCCAGCTGATGCATCCTCCGCTCATCATGAACACATAGCCGCTTGTACTTCGTCTTGACTCAATGTCGCCGGCCCAGTCTGCGTCGGTGTACCCGCAGATACGGCTTCCTTCTTCACGTGTAAACTCAAGACCATGATTGGGCGTTGCTTGCAGGTATCTCAGCACACGCTTCAAAGCTTGCCAGTGAGTCGGGCATGGGTCGGACGAGAACTGGGATAATGATCCCACTGCAGCAGCTAGATCCGGACGTGTGGCGACCATGAGATACATGATGCCTCCGACAGCACTTCGATATGGCACGTTGCACATGGTGTCTTCGTGCTTGCATTCTTGTTCACACATGTTCTTGGTTAGCTTCAGGCCGGGATCTTGAGGCGTCTTCACTGGCTTGCTGTTATCCATTCCGAACTTGGTTAACACGGACTTGAGAAACTTGGTTTGTTGTACAGTCACCATTCCCGTCTTACGGTCGTTCTTGATCTCCATGCCGAGAAAGTAATCGAGCTCACCGAGATCCGTCATTTCGAAGCGTTTGCTCAGCGCCATCTTGGTTGACTTGAGGAGTTCGTTGTTGCTGCTGGCCAGGATGAGATCATCGACGTAGAGCACCACGAGAATCATGTCTTGGTCGTCTCGCTTGATGTAGATGCAGTGGTCCGATTCGCACTTCTTGAATCCCATCTTGATCATGAACCCATCGATTGTTTGGTTCCACATGCGAGGCGATTGCTTCAAGCCGTAGAGTGATCTCTTTAGCTTGCACACATAGTCCGGCTGTGTTGCATCCAGGTATCCGTCCGGCTGGTCCATGTAGATGTCTTCGTTGAGGGAGCCGTTAAGAAACGCTGTCTTGACGTCCATCTGATGTAGCATTAGGCCGTACTTAGCCGCCATACTGAGCACCACACGAATCGATGTGAACTTGGCCACCGGTGCGAAAGTTTCTTCATAGTCAACTCCGAATTTCTGTGAGAATCCTTTGGCCACAAGTCTTGCCTTGAAACGTTCAACTTCGCCATCTTGATTCTCCTTTACACGAAAAACCCATCGGCATCCGATGGCCTTGCGACCTTTCGGAAGAGGCACGATTTCCCACGTGTCGTTTCTCTGAAGCGAGTTGAACTCCGAGTCACACGCTTCTTTCCACTTGCCGGAGTCGCTTGATTCCATCGCCGACTTGAATGTAGTCGGCGTTTCCCCCACTGAATCAACGATGTAGGCTGCTTCAAAATCCATTGCAGCCGCTGACACATGCTCAAGCGACGGACCTCTGTACGTTCTTCGCTTGGGACTTGGAATGACGGTAGCTTTCTCAAGTGATTGAGTGCGCGTGTGTCTCTTGATGTTGCTCTTCGAAGACCTGGTGTCTTCGTTGTCATCGTCGCTCGAGTCCATGTCGACGTCAGTTTTACCTTCTTCTTTTTCTTCGTCCTCGTCTTGACCATCAAACTCAACGGCACTTGACTCATCGTTGTAGTTGCGCGGACCTTCATCAAACTTGTCTTCCATGAATGTGGCATCACGACTGATCTTGATCGCTCCTGTTGACACTTCCTCAAATCGATATGACTTCTGGTGTTCGGCGTATCCCAGGAAACGACAGAGTGATGACTTGGAGTCGAACTTCGCGCGTTTGTCTTGAGGCACTTGAACATACGCGTGGCATCCAAACACTTTAAGGTTGGCCAGAATCGGTTTCTTCATCGTCCACACTTGATATGGAGACTTGTCTTGGTGAATGGCACGTGTTGGACAGCGGTTTCGAAGAAACATCGCCGTCATCACTGCTTCACCCCAGTAGCTCTTTCCCAGTCCAGCGTGTTCCATCATGCAACGCGCACACTCGACCAGCGTGCGATTCATTCTCTCAGCTACTCCGTTTAGCTGAGGAGTATATGGGGGTGTGAACCTTTGTTGTATTCCCCGTTCCGCGCAGAATCGTGCCAGCTTGTCGGACTTGTATTCACCCCCATTGTCGCTTTGAAGGTACTTCACGCGCTTTCCGGTTTGCGTTTCGGCCATCGCAGCGTATTCCATGAACTTCGCCGCAACTTCAGATTTGCTCTTGAGCAGATAGACGACACAGTATCTTGACTTGTCATCAATGAATGTCACGAAGTACCGTTTTCCACTGAAAGTTGCCATCGACATCGGTCCGCATACGTCGCTGTGAATCACTTCGAGGAGTTTGGAGGTGCGAGCTGTAGTGTTTGATTGGAAGCGCACTCGAGTCTGTTTTCCCAGAGCACAACCTTCACACACGTCCCACTTCTTCACCGAAGATATGTCGATGCCAATTCCAATGTTCTTCGTCACGATGCAATTGAGTCCATCGTGACCTATGTGGCCAAGCCGAAGGTGCCAGAGGTACGACTTGGTGCCCCCTTGACATCCCGACGACTTGGCTGCATTTGCTTGTTCCGGCGCCACTGGAGTCATTTGCAGCTTGAACAGTCCTTTACCTTCACGGGCACCAATTTTCCACTTGGTCCCTTTCGCTTCTCCATAGCACCCATCCTTCGTGAACGTCACTGGGCCGACATCCTTGCGGAAGCGGCCGACCGAGAACAGGTTTCTGGATAACTTTGGGATGTGCCACACGTTTGTGAGCACACCTTTCTTCATCCCTTGGGGTGTCTTCATCGACATGACAATGTCCCCACTGCCGATTGCTTGGACGATTCCATCATCCGCGAGATGGACATCCACAGCGTCAAACCCCTTGTAGTTCCGCATGAAATTCTTGGAGCACGTCATGTGCTGCGTCGCCCCGGAGTCGACCAGCCAGATGTCGCTCGATTTCGCAGATGTCGTTTCACCGATCGAAAAGAGGTAGTCGCCCGAGTCTTCTTCTTGAGCGACGTTTGCACGTTGTGATCGATAGCGGTCGCCGCTGTCTTGAGCACGCTGTGGCCGGTGTCTCTCCGTGTTTTCTTGGATGCGCGAGGGGCACTCCGCCATCCAGTGACCAATCTTTCCGCAATTGTGGCACGGCCAGGACTTCTTCACTGGTCGCCCTTTGCGCTGATTGTCCCTTGTGATGAACGCTTGACCTTGCGAAGCTTCATCACCTTTACTTCCTTGCTCCTTCCGCTTCATTTCTTCATGAAGCAGTCGAGACGTCACGAGCTCCCAGCTAAGAGTGTCTGAGCGCGACTCCAAAGCTGTGATCAAGAATTGATACGAGTCACTCAGGCTGCCGAGGAGTGTGATCACCAGATCGTCCTCGCAGACTGGAGCCCCCACCGCTTCTAGCTGTTCCGCCAGCGTCTTGAGCTTGTTGATGTGTTCGAGCACATCGTCGCCTTCTTCCATCATTGTCGTGAAGAAGCGACGGCGCAAGAACAGCTTGTTGGCAAGACTCTTCTTCTTGAAGTGGTCTTCCAACCTTGACCATGCGTCGCATGCACCACTTGCCGACCGGACCAACGGTAGCGGGGAATCTTCCATGGCTAGACAGATCACTGCCATCGCCTTTCTTGACTTCCTCTTGTACGTCGCTTGGTCCAACTGAGTCTCGCACTGTTCCGCCTTGATCTCACCGCTGACGACCTCCCATAGGTCCCGTTCCTCCAGCACCATCTGCATCTTGAACTTCCAGGCGTGGAAGTTAGTTCCATCGAACTTGGAGATGCGGAGGGAGGAGGCGTCCATGGCAGCTAAGCTTGAATTGTTGGCGGTTTCAGAGTCTGACGAACTTGGGCTCATAACCTGATGAACTTTAGACTTCTTGGTCCGAGTGCAAAACGCAAAGTGAATATATATTTATAATAGGTACTTAGTTCGCAGCTTTGAATACTACCTCTAAGCCTATTATTCGCAGTGACGTCATCCAGTGACGTCACCCACTGACGTCATCCAATGACGTCATTTCCTGACTTCGCCCTTACTGGTACATACCGGTACCCACCGGTATAGCGAAGCTTGGTCTTCCACTTGCTTCAACACTTGACGCAGCTTGACGAGGTGTCTTCTTCACAGCCGCTGTCTTTTCAACATGAAGCAATCGCCTCGCATGTGGAACCAAACAATCGATGGGTTCATGATCAAGATGGGATTCAAGAAGTGTGTTGCAATTTGAGCGCGAGGCGAAGAGAAAACGAAGCGGAGAGACCGGAGAGAACGAAGCAGAGAACACTTGCTCACTTGAGGGAGGATTCGAAAGTGATTGATTTATAGGTCTTAACTTCTGCCTACCCTAGACTGCATCCAATCACATGGTGCATCTAATCAACCTGATTTACACGCGTCCAATCATCCTACGCGTCTAATCATCTCTGAGGTAATTACCGATGTAAAAACTATCTCGTAAGAACTACGCGCTAGGTTCGGATTGTACCGGTAACCCTCAATACGCCCCCTCAATCCGAACACGCACGGATGCCAAGCGCCGCCGTCAAGTCCTTGTGACGCGGTCCGTGAAGTCCCTTCGTCATGATGTCCGCCAACATCAACGTCGTCTCGCAGTATTCAAGCTTCACTTCGCCGCGCTTGACTTCATCACGGATGTGATGGTACTTGATGTCGATGTGTTTAGCGCGGCCGTGGTTGACCGGATTCTTCGTCATCTTGATGCACGACTGGTTGTCTTCACGGATGACGAGCTCGGGTCCTTCTTCGTTTGCAGCCGCCATGATCTCGCACAGCAAGCGATTGATCCACTTGCCTTCTTGGATCGCCAGGCTGAGCGCGATGTACTCCGCTTCGCTTGTAGACAGTGACACACTTGGCTGTTTCTTGCTGCCCCAACTCACCGGAGCACCCAATAGCATGAAGACGTAGCCGGACGTCGATTTGCGATCAGCAAGGTCACCGGCCCAGTCTGCATCTGAATAGCCACGAAAGTCGATCTTCGCACTTGGCTTGTAGCAGATTCCATGCATCTTGGTGCCTTGTAGGTAGCGGAAGATGCGCTTGACTGCAACCCAGTGTTCTTCTTGGGGTTTCTCCATGAACCGTGACACAAAGCTTACAGCATAGGCGATGTCCGGTCGCGTTGCAGTCGTCAGGTGCATCAAAGCACCCACTGCTTCACGGAATGGGACATCCACCTTGCTTGCAGAGTTGCTTGGAACCAGTCGAGAGCTGACGTCCACCGGACTTGCCACAGCCTTGCACTCATCCATTCCAAAGCGCTTGAGGACATCGTCGACATAACGGCGCTGACACATAGTCACGCTGCCATCTTCACCGTCCAATAACTCGATCCCAAGAACAAAGGCACACTTGCCGCTGTCCGTCATCTCGAAGCGTGTCTTGAGGTCGTTCTTGGTGCGCGCAATCATCTCGAGCGAGCTTCCAGTCACCAAGACATCGTCCACGTAGACCAGCACAAAAACACAATGGCCTTCCGAAGTCATGATGTAGAGACATGGATCGAATCCCGACGCTTGAAAACCAATCGAGCGTATGAACTCGTCGAAGGTCTCGTTCCAAACACGCGAGGCTTGCTTGAGACCGTAGATCGCCTTGATCAGCTCGAGACAGTCGAAATCACCTTCCATCTTGACGCCTTCCGGAACAGCGCAGAACACCTTCTCCTTCATCACTCCATAAAGGAACGCAGTCACCACATCGAGCTGGTCGAGGGGCCATCCAAAGTGCTTGGTAATGGCGATCACCATTCGCAGCGTCACATACTTGACCACGGGCGAGAACGTCTCCGTGTAGTCGATGCCATACTTTTGGCGAAAACCCTTGGCCACAAGTCGTGCCTTGTATTTCTCGATCGACCCATCCGCCTTGCGCTTGATCTTGAAGACCCACTTTGTGCCAATGGCGCTTTGTCCGTTGGGTAACTTGGCCGCACGAAAGACACCGCGAAGCTTCATCGAATCGAGCTCCGCATCAATTGCCTTGCGCCAGTGTAGTTGGTCCGGGCCAGACACTGCTTCTTCAAATGTCGACGGCTCTGAAAAATCGACCGCTGCTTCGACGGCGTTTGCACTCGCATGCCAAAACGCGGAGGAAGTCGGTGTGTCATGTTGTTCCTCCGACTTCCTTTCTTCATCTTCGTTGGCTCGACGTGAAGAGAGGTCATCCGGCGCACTTGACTCTTCCAATCCGGGTCGTTGGCGCACTGCTCGGGGCATGCTTGCGTCGTCATGTCGTGACTGGGTTGGGCCTTGCGCTTTCCTGTTTGTTTGAAGTGTCTCGGACGCGGTTCTTCATCATCAAGATCGATCGATTCGAAGTCCAGGCCATCAACATCGTCATCGGAAATCAGCATCGACATTCCAAAGGCCGACTCATCGAAGTTGACATCGCGACTTATCATCACCTGCCCCGCTTCGATGTCGTAAACTCGATACGCCTTGGACACTTCTTCGTAGCCCAAAAACAATCCAGCCCGGGCCTTGGGATCCCACTTGAGTCGTTTCTCCTTCGGGGTCAAGATGTATGCTTGGCACCCAAAAACGCGCATGTGCTTGACACTTGGCTTAGAATTGTAGACAATCTCGAACGGTGTCTTGTGTGGAATCTTGGGTGACGGCAAACGGTTCTTCACATAGACGGCCGTCATTGCCGCTTCAGCCCATAAGCACTTGTCCAACTTGGCATGATGGAGCATGCTACGACCGATGGTGACGATAGTTCGAATCGCGCGTTCAGCAGTTCCATTGGCTTGATGTGCGTATGGCACCGTGGTTTGTTGCTCGATGCCTTCGACTTCGTAGAAATCTTGAAGCGAGTTCGTCGCAAACTCGCGGGCTCCATCGTGTCGCACAAATTTGACCTTCTTGTTGAACTGCGTCTGTATCATCGTGATGTACTTCTTGATGCACTCTTCGCTCTCTGACCTGGAATGCAGACAAAAACCCTTCATGCATCCGCTGGCTTCATCCACGATCAGCAGCAGATACTTGCTGCCACCCAGAGATTTTTCTTCCATGGGTCCGCAGATGTCGAAGTGGAGCATCTCGAAGGTGTTGTAGGTGCGCTTGTCACGATTACTGGGGAATGGTTTTTGGACCATCTTCCCTTCTTGGCATCCTCGACACACACTTGATCCATTCGGCTTGGAAGGGATGTGAGCGTCCTTGATCATGTGGCTTGTCACCATCCTGCGAAGCACGTCGACTGGAGCATGGCCCATTCGCGCATGTAGATCAACAGCGTTGCTGAGTGATGTCGCATTGGCCGATCGCTGCGTCGTGCGAAGCCAGTAGAGTCCGTCTACAAGATCCGCAGCTGCCACCACTTGATTGGAATCCTTGCGAGCGACGTACATCGTATCCCCGTCAAACACCACTTGGAAGTTGCCGTGCTTGTTAATCTGCGGCACCGAGAGCAGATTTTTGCTCATGCTGGGCACATAGAGCGCGTTCTTGATCTCGATCTCGCGCTCTTCCCCGTTTGGCAGAATCACCTTTTCCACGATGGTCCCCACACCTTTGATGGCCGCCTTGTTGCCATCAGCCACCAGGATCTCGCCATCATTGCCTTCGACCAAGCTTGCAAACTTGAACTTGTCGTGGCAGATGTGATGTGTTGCCCCGCTGTCAACGGCCCACATTCCTGGTCCATTCTTGTTCGTCGAAACTCCGCATTCGAACGAAACTGCAAACGCCACTCGATCGTAGCTGTTGCCTTCATCATAATGTCGCCACTGGACATTGTTTGCCCCGCGTCCACGACCATTGCCGCCGCGTTGGGCTCCTCGACTTTCATCCTTTTGCTTCGTCCAGCAACGCTCTGCCGTGTGCCCCACCTTGCCGCAGTATGTGCATTGGTAGGGCTTGCGCTCGGTACTGAATGCCTTTGTCGCATCTTCAGTCTTCACCGTTGTCGTTGCCGTTGTCATCTTCTCGCCTTGTCGCTTGATGTGCTCGTTAGTCAGCACCTTGACCACATCTTGCGTGCGCAGCTCTGCAGTGCTCATCTCCAAGTTCAGAACCACGTTCTCGAAACTCTTCGGGAGACTGAGCAGCAAGCAGATCGCAATGTCTTCGTCTTCCATCTTGGCACCGATGCTGCTGAGCTTGGCGCCGATGTTCAAGATTTCGTTGCAATGGTGCAAGACGTTGGCACCTTCCGCCATCTTGATGCTGAACAGCTGGCGCTTAAGGTAGATGCGTCCCGCCTTCTGCGACCCACCATAGAGCATCTTCAACCGCGACCACGCTGTCCATGCTTCTTCACAGTTGTCGACCACATGGTGGTAGTCGGCGTCCATGTGGAGCAACATCAACCCGAACGCGATGTTGCTCGCCTTGACGTACTCGTCGGAAGCTCGCGTGTCGGTGAAGGTTGGAGACGTTTCGCGGTTCACGACGTACCAGACTGACTTCGTCAGAAACACGCCGCGCATGTAGCGACACCAGGTTGAGTAGTTGTCCCCATCGAACTTATCGATGGAGACACTGGCCGAGGTGTTGTTGGATGACATGGCGCTTGGGCTCATAACCTGTTGCAATTTGAGCGCGAGGCGAAGAGAAAACGAAGCGGAGAGACCGGAGAGAACGAAGCAGAGAACACTTGCTCACTTGAGGGAGGATTCGAAAGTGATTGATTTATAGGTCTTAACTTCTGCCTACCCTAGACTGCATCCAATCACATGGTGCATCTAATCAACCTGATTTACACGCGTCCAATCATCCTACGCGTCTAATCATCTCTGAGGTAATTACCGATGTAAAAACTATCTCGTAAGAACTACGCGCTAGGTTCGGATTGTACCGGTAACCCTCAATAAAGTGCGAATCGGACCACTGCATCTACATCAAGCGAGACGACCAAGACATGATTCTCGTGGTGCTCTACGTCGATGATCTCATCCTGGCCAGCAGCAACAACGAACTCCTCAAGTCAACCAAGATGGCGCTGAGCAAACGCTTCGAAATGACGGATCTCGGTGAGCTCGATTACTTTCTCGGCATGGAGATCAAGAACGACCGTAAGACGGGAATGGTGACTGTACAACAAACCAAGTTTCTCAAGTCCGTGTTAACCAAGTTCGGAATGGATAACAGCAAGCCAGTGAAGACGCCTCAAGATCCCGGCCTGAAGCTAACCAAGAACATGTGTGAACAAGAATGCAAGCACGAAGACACCATGTGCAACGTGCCATATCGAAGTGCTGTCGGAGGCATCATGTATCTCATGGTCGCCACACGTCCGGATCTAGCTGCTGCAGTGGGATCATTATCCCAGTTCTCGTCCGACCCATGCCCGACTCACTGGCAAGCTTTGAAGCGTGTGCTGAGATACCTGCAAGCAACGCCCAATCATGGTCTTGAGTTTACACGTGAAGAAGGAAGCCGTATCTGCGGGTACACCGACGCAGACTGGGCCGGCGACATTGAGTCAAGACGAAGTACAAGCGGCTATGTGTTCATGATGAGCGGAGGATGCATCAGCTGGAAAAGCCAGAAACAACGGACGGTCGCGCTATCTTCAACAGAAGCAGAATACATGGCGCTTTCCGAAGCAACCAAAGAAGCAGTATGGCTCAAAGTGCTTTTGGGGGAACTTGGTGAGATGACAAGCGACGGAGCGATCAAGATGTATGAAGACAACCAAGGATCAATCGCTCTCGCCAAGAACCCGGAGTTCCATAAGAGAACAAAACACATCGACATACGCTACCATTTTGTGCGTGAGAAGGTGGAATCAGGTGAAGTCGTTTTGGAGTATTGCCCGACTCAAGATATGCTGGCAGACATGATGACCAAGCCGATCGCCGCTGTACAATTTGAAAACATTCGCGATCGACTTGGGATCCAAGGTGCCGCAGCTAACGAGTCGAGAGGGAGTGTTGAAAAGACAGCGGCTGTGAAGAAGACACCTCGTCAAGCTGCGTCAAGGGTTGAGGCAAGTGGAAGACCAAGCTTCGCTATACCGGTGGGTACCGGTATGTACCAGTAAGGGCGAAGTCAGGAATTGACGTCACTGGATGACGTCACTGCGAATAATAGGCTTAGAGGTAGTATTCAAAGTTGCGAACTAAGTACCTATTATAAATATATATTCACTTTGCGTTTTGCACTCGGACCAAGAAGTCTAAAGTTCATCATCCTACGCGTCTAATCAACTATGGTAATTACCGTAAGAACTACGTCGTAAATACTAAGCTGAACAGGCGGTTCGGATTGGATCGGTCACGGTTACCAATACTGGTAGAAAACCGATGACCGTCAACACGCCCCCTCAATCCAAATGATCACGAATCCCGAGAGTCGCCGTCATCTCCTTGTGGCGTGGCCCGTGAAGTCCCTTCGTCATGATGTCCGCTAACATCACCGCAGTTTCACAGTACTTGAGCTTCACTTCACCGCGCTTGACCTCATCACGGATGTGATGGTACTTGATATCAATGTGCTTGGCACGGCCGTGGTTGACTGGGTTCTTCGTCATCTTGATACACGACTGATTGTCTTCATGGATCATGAGTTCCGGTCCTTCTTCATTGGCAGCCATCACGATCTCACAAAGCAGACGATGAATCCACTTGCCCTCTTGAATCGCCAAGCTGAGTGCGATGTATTCGGCTTCACTCGTGGACAACGAAACACTTGGCTGCTTCTTGCTGCCCCAACTGACTGGCGCACCGAGTAGCATGAACGTGTACCCCGATGTTGACTTGCGGTCGGTAAGATCACCAGCCCAATCCGCATCCGAATATCCACGGAAGTCGATCCTTGCACTTGGCTTGTAGCAAATTCCATGCGTCTTGGTGCCTTGTAGGTAGCGAAAGATACGCTTAACTGCAACCCAGTGTTCTTCTTGGGGATTTTCCATGAACCGCGACACATAGCCCACAGCAAACGCAATGTCCGGACGCGTTGCAGTGGTCAGGTGCATCAACGCACCAACAGCTTCGCGAAAAGGAGCATCGACCTTGGTAGTTGCATCACTTGAAACAAGTCGAGAGCTCATGTCGACTGGACTTGCGACTGCCTTGCAATCATCCATGCCAAAGCGCTTGAGGATATCATCGACATACCGACGCTGACATAGTGTCACACTGCCATCTTCACCGTCCAAAAGCTCGATCCCAAGAACAAACGCACACTTGCCGCTGTCCGTCATCTCGAACCGCGTCTTCAGGTCGTTCTTGGTTTGTGCAATCAGCTCGAGCGAGCTTCCAGTCACCAAGACGTCGTCCACGTAGACCAGTATAAACACGCAATGGCCGTCCGAAGTCTTGATGTAGAGACATGGGTCGAAGTCCGATACTTGAAATCCGATGGAGCACACATACTCGTCGAACGTCTCGTTCCACACTCGCGACGCTTGCTTGAGGCCGTAAATTGACTTCACCAATTCCAGGCAGTCGAACGTACTGTCAAGTTCGACGCCTTCAGGAATCACGCAGAACACTTGTTCCTTCATCACTCCATACAGGAAAGCTGTCACCACATCAAGCTGGTCGATGGGCCATCCAAAATGCTTGGAAATTGCGATCACCATTCGCAGCGTCACATACTTGACCACAGGCGAAAACGTCTCCGTGTAGTCGATGCCATACTTTTGGCGGAAACCCTTGGCCACAAGTCGTGCCTTGTACTTCTCGATTGACCCATCCGCCTTGCGCTTGATCTTGAACACCCATTTTGTGCCAATGGCGCGTTGTCCGTTGGGCAGCTTGGCTGCACGAAACACACCGCGAAGTCGCATTGACTCGAGCTCTGCATGAATTGCTTTTCTCCAGTGCACTTGGTCAGGGCCGCTTACTGCTGCTTCAAATATTGAGGGCTCTGATAAGTCCACTGCTGCTTCAACGGCATTTGCACTCGCACGCCAAAACACAGGCGGTGTTGAATCACCAGAATCCTTCGTTTCTTCGTCTTCTTCTTGGCGTGACGAGTTGTTTTCCGGCGCGCTTGACTCTTCTAGTCCTGGTCGTTGACGCACTGCACGCGGTCGTGGAGCTGCTGTATCTTCATCATTGAGTCGGTTCTTGCGCTTGCCTGTTTGCTTGTACTCCATTTGACGCAGCTCTTCGTCATCAAGATCCAGCAATTCGAAGTCCAGGTCATCGACATCTTCATCAGTGATCGGCAGTTGAAGTCCAAAGGTGGACTCGTCGAAGTTGACATCGCGGCTGATAACCACCTGCCCCGCCTCAATGTCAAATACACGATATGCCTTGGACACTTCTTCGTAGCCCACGAATATGCCAGCGCGAGCCTTTGGATCCCACTTGAGTCGATTCTCTTTAGGCGTCAGTATGTATGTCTGACACCCGAATGTTCGCATGTGCTTGAAACTTCGCTTGGAGTTGTACACGATCTCAAACGGGGTCTTATGCACATTTTTGGTGACGGTAGGCGATTCTTGACGTAGATGACCGTCATTGCTAATTCAGCCCAGAAGCACTTGTCCAACTTGGCATGGTGAAGCATGCTACGGCCGATCGTGACAATAGTCCTAATTGCACGCTCTGCTGTTACGTTTGCTTGATGTGCATACGGCACCGTTGTCTGCTGTTCAATGCCTTCGTCTTCGTAGAACAGTTGAATCGAGTTGGCTGCAAACTCGCGAGCTCCGTCGTGTCGCACGAACTTGACCTTCTTACAGAATTGCGTCTGTACCATGGTGATATATTTCCGGATGTAGTCTTCACTCTCGGACTTCACTCGTAGACAAAAGCCCTTCATGCATCCACTGGCTTCGTCGATGATCAGCAGCAAATATTTGCTGCCACCGAGCGAATCCTTTTCCATGGGCCCGCAGATGTCCAGATTGATGAACTTTAGACGTCTTGGTCCGAGTGCAAAACGCAAAGTGAATATATATTTATAATAGGTACTTAGTTCGCAACTTTGAACACTACCTCTAAGCCTATTATTCGCAGTGACCTTATCCAGTGACGTCACCCACTGACGTCATCCAGTGACGTCATTTCCTGACTTCGCCCTTACTGGTACATACCGGTACCCACCGGTATAGCGAAGCTTGGTCTTCCACTTGCTTCAACACTTGACGCAGCTTGACGAGGTGTCTTCTTCACAGCCGCTGTCTTTTCAACACTCCCTCTCGACTCGTTAGCTGCGGCACCTTGGATCCCAAGTCGATCGCGAATGTTTTCAAATTGTACAGCGGCGATCGGCTTGGTCATCATGTCTGCCAGCATACCTTGAGTCGGGCAATACTCCAAAACGACTTCACCTGATTCCACCTTCTCACGCACAAAATGGTAGCGTATGTCGATGTGTTTTGTTCTCTTATGGAACTCCGGGTTCTTGGCGAGAGCGATTGATCCTTGGTTGTCTTCATACATCTTGATCGCTTCGTCGCTTGTCATCTCACCAAGTTCCCCCAAAAGCACTTTGAGCCATACTGCTTCTTTGGTTGCTTCGGAAAGCGCCATGTATTCTGCTTCTGTTGAAGATAGCGCGACCGTCCGTTGTTTCTGGCTTTTCCAGCTGATGCATCCTCCGCTCATCATGAACACATAGCCGCTTGTACTTCGTCTTGACTCAATGTCGCCGGCCCAGTCTGCGTCGGTGTACCCGCAGATACGGCTTCCTTCTTCACGTGTAAACTCAAGACCATGATTGGGCGTTGCTTGCAGGTATCTCAGCACACGTTTCAAAGCTTGCCAGTGAGTCGGGCATGGGTCGGACGAGAACTGGGATAATGATCCCACTGCAGCAGCTAGATCCGGACGTGTGGCGACCATGAGATACATGATGCCTCCGACAGCACTTCGATATGGCACGTTGCACATGGTGTCTTCGTGCTTGCATTCTTGTTCACACATGTTCTTGGTTAGCTTCAGGCCGGGATCTTGAGGCGTCTTCACTGGCTTGCTGTTATCCATTCCGAACTTGGTTAACACGGACTTGAGAAACTTGGTTTGTTGTACAGTCACCATTCCCGTCTTACGGTCGTTCTTGATCTCCATGCCGAGAAAGTAATCGAGCTCACCGAGATCCGTCATTTCGAAGCGTTTGCTCAGCGCCATCTTGGTTGACTTGAGGAGTTCGTTGTTGCTGCTGGCCAGGATGAGATCATCGACGTAGAGCACCACGAGAATCATGTCTTGGTCGTCTCGCTTGATGTAGATGCAGTGGTCCGATTCGCACTTCTTGAATCCCATCTTGATCATGAACCCATCGATTGTTTGGTTCCACATGCGAGGCGATTGCTTCAAGCCGTAGAGTGATCTCTTTAGCTTGCACACATAGTCCGGCTGTGTTGCATCCAGGTATCCGTCCGGCTGGTCCATGTAGATGTCTTCGTTGAGGGAGCCGTTAAGAAACGCTGTCTTGACGTCCATCTGATGTAGCATTAGGCCGTACTCAGCGGCCATACTGAGCACCACACGAATCGATGTGAACTTGGCCACCGGTGCGAAAGTTTCTTCATAGTCAACTCCGAATTTCTGTGAGAATCCTTTGGCCACAAGTCTTGCCTTGAAACGTTCAACTTCGCCATCTTGATTCTCCTTTACACGAAAAACCCATCGGCACCCGATGGCCTTGCGACCTTTCGGAAGAGGCACGATTTCCCACGTGTCGTTTCTCTGAAGCGAATCGAACTCCGAGTCACACGCTTCTTTCCACTTGCCGGAGTCGCTTGATTCCATCGCCGACTTGAATGTAGTCGGCGTTTCCCCCACTGAATCAACGATGTAGGCTGCTTCAAAATCCATTGCAGCCGCTGACACATGCTCAAGCGACGGACCTCTGTATGTTCTTCGCTTGGGACTTGGAATGACGGTAGCTTTCTCAAGTGATTGAGTGCGCGTGTGTCTCTTGATGTTGCTCTTCGAAGACCTGGTATCTTCGTTGTCATCGTCGCTCGAGTCCATGTCGACGTCAGTTTTACCTTCTTCTTTTTCTTCGTCCTCGTCTTGACCATCAAACTCAACGGCACTTGACTCATCGTTGTAGTTGCGCGGACCTTCATCAAACTTGTCTTCCATGAATGTGGCATCACGACTGATCTTGATCGCTCCTGTTGACACTTCCTCAAATCGATATGACTTCTGGTGTTCGGCGTATCCCAGGAAACGACAGACTGATGACTTGGAGTCGAACTTCGCGCGTTTGTCTTGAGGCACTTGAACATACGCGTGGCATCCAAACACTTTAAGGTTGGCCAGAATCGGTTTCTTCATCGTGCACACTTGATATGGAGACTTGTCTTGGTGAATGGCACGTGTTGGACAGCGGTTTCGAAGAAACATCGCCGTCATCACTGCTTCACCCCAGTAGCTCTTTCCCAGTCCAGCGTGTTCCATCATGCAACGCGCACACTCGACCAGCGTGCGATTCATTCTCTCAGCTACTCCGTTTAGCTGAGGAGTATATGGGGGTGTGAACCTTTGTTGTATTCCCCGTTCCGCGCAGAATCGTGCCAGCTTGTCGGACTTGTATTCACCCCCATTGTCGCTTTGAAGGTACTTCACGCGCTTTCCGGTTTGCGTTTCGGCCATCGCAGCGTATTCCATGAACTTCGCCGCAACTTCAGATTTGCTCTTGAGCAGATAGACGACACAGTATCTTGACTTGTCATCAATGAATGTCACGAAGTACCGTTTTCCACTGAAAGTTGCCATCGACATCGGTCCGCATACGTCGCTGTGAATCACTTCGAGGAGTTTGGAGGTGCGAGCGGTAGTGTTTGATTGGAAGCGCACTCGAGTCTGTTTTCCCAGAGCACAACCTTCACACACGTCCCACTTCTTCACCGAAGATATGTCGATGCCAATTCCAATGTTCTTCGTCACGATGCAATTGAGTCCATCGTGACCTATGTGGCCAAGCCGAAGGTGCCAGAGGTACGACTTGGTGCCCCCTTGACATCCCGACGACTTGGCTGCATTTGCTTGTTCCGGCGCCACTGGAGTCATTTGCAGCTTGAACAGTCCTTTACCTTCACGGGCACCAATTTTCCACTTGGTCCCTTTCGCTTCTCCATAGCACCCATCCTTCGTGAACGTCACTGGGCCGACATCCTTGGTGAAGCGGCCGACCGAGAACAGGTTTCTGGATAACTTTGGGATGTGCCACACGTTTGTGAGCACACCTTTCTTCATCCCTTGGGGTGTCTTCATCGACATGACAATGTCCCCACTGCCGATTGCTTGGACGATTCCATCATCCGCGAGATGGACATCCACAGCGTCAAACCCCTTGTAGTTCCGCATGAACTTCTTGGAGCACGTCATGTGCTGCGTCGCCCCGGAGTCGACCAGCCAGATGTCGCTCGATTTCGCAGATGTCGTTTCACCGATCGAAAAGAGGTAGTCGCCCGAGTCTTCTTCTTGAGCGACGTTTGCACGTTGTGATCGATAGCGGTCGCCGCTGTCTTGAGCACGCTGTGGCCGGTGTCTCTCCGTGTGTTCTTGGATGCGCGAGGGGCACTCCGCCATCCAGTGACCAATCTTTCCGCAATTGTGGCACGGCCAGGACTTCTTCACTGGTCGCCCTTTGCGCTGATTGTCCCTTGTGATGAACGCTTGACCTTGCGAAGCTTCATCACCTTTACTTCCTTGCTCCTTCCGCTTCATTTCTTCATGAAGCAGTCGAGAGACGTCACGAGCTCCCAGCTAAGAGTGTCTGAGCGCGACTCCAAAGCTGTGATCAAGAATTGATACGAGTCACTCAGGCTGCCGAGGAGTGTGATCACCAGATCGTCCTCGCAGACTGGAGCCCCCACCGCTTCTAGCTGTTCCGCCAGCGTCTTGAGCTTGTTGATGTGTTCGAGCACATCGTCGCCTTCTTCCATCATTGTCGTGAAGAAGCGACGGCGCAAGAACAGCTTGTTGGCAAGACTCTTCTTCTCGAAGTGGTCTTCCAACCTTGACCATGCGTCGCATGCACCACTTGCCGACCGGACCAACGGTAGCTGGGAATCTTCCATGGCTAGACATATCACTGCCATCGCCTTTCTTGACTTCCTCTTGTACGTCGCTTGGTCCAACTGAGTCTCGCACTGTTCCGCCTTGATCTCACCGCTGACGACCTCCCATAGGTCCCGTTCCTCCAGCACCATCTGCATCTTGAACTTCCAGGCGTGGAAGTTAGTTCCATCGAACTTGGAGATGCGGAGGGAGGAGGCGTCCATGGCAGCTAAGCTTGAATTGTTGGCGGTTTCAGAGTCTGACGAACTTGGGCTCATAACCTGATGAACTTTAGACTTCTTGGTCCGAGTGCAAAACGCAAAGTGAATATATATTTATAATAGGTACTTAGTTCGCAACTTTGAATACTACCTCTAAGCCTATTATTCGCAGTGACGTCATCCAGTGACGTCACCCACTGACGTCATCCGATGACGTCATTTCCTGACTTCGCCCTTACTGGTACATACCGGTACCCACCGGTATAGCGAAGCTTGGTCTTCCACTTGCTTCAACACTTGACGCAGCTTGACGAGGTGTCTTCTTCACAGCCGCTGTCTTTTCAACACAGATGAAGTAGCTCAAACGTATCGTAGCTGCGCTTGTCTCGGTTGCTTGGAAATGGTTTTTGGACCATTTTCCCTTGTTGACATCCTCGACATGTAGTTGCTCCACCCGACTTGAGAGGGACTCGCACATCCTTGATCATGTTGGTTATTGAGGGTTACCTGTACAATCCGAACCTAGCGCGTAGTTCTTACGAGATAGTTTTTACATCGGTTTTTACCTCAGAGATGATTAGACGCGTAGGATGATTGGACGCGTGTAAATCAGGTTGATTAGATGCACCATGTGATTGGATGCAGTCTAGGGTAGGCAGAAGTTAAGACCTATAAATCAATCACTTTCGAATCCTCCCTCAAGTGAGCAAGTGTTCTCTGCTTCGTTCTCTCCGGTCTCTCCGCTTCGTTTTCTCTTCGCCTCGCGCTCAAGTTACAACAGGTTATGAGCCCAAGCGCCATGTCGTCCAACAACACCTCGGCCAGTGTCTCCATCGATAAGTTCGATGGGGACAACTACTCAACCTGGTGTCGCTACATGCGCGGCGTGTTTCTGACGAAGTCAGTCTGGTACGTCGTGAACCGCGAAACGTCTCCAACCTTCACCGACACGCGAGCTTCCGACGAGTACGTCAAGGCGAGCAACATCGCGTTCGGGTTGATGTTGCTCCACATGGACGCCGACTACCACCATGTGGTCGACAACTGTGAAGAAGCATGGACAGCGTGGTCGCGGTTGAAGATGCTCTATGGTGGGTCGCAGAAGGCGGGACGCATCTACCTCAAGCGCCAGCTGTTCAGCATCAAGATGGCGGAAGGTGCCAACGTCTTGCACCATTGCAACGAAGTCTTGAACATCGGCGCCAAGCTCAGCAGCATCGGTGCCAAGATGGAAGACGAAGACATTGCGATCTGCTTGCTGCTCAGTCTCCCGAAGAGTTTCGAGAACGTGGTTCTGAACTTGGAGATGAGCAATGCAGAGCTGCGCACGCAAGATGTGGTCAAGGTGCTGACTAACGAGCACATCAAGCGACAAGGCGAGAAGATGACAACGGCAACGACAACGGTGAAGACTGAAGATGCGACAAAGGCATTCAGTACCGAGCGCAAGCCCTACCAATGCACATACTGCGGCAAGGTGGGGCACACGGCAGAGCGTTGCTGGACGAAGCAAAAGGATGAAAGTCGAGGAGCCCAACGCGGCGGCAATGGTCGTGGACGCGGGGCAAACAATGTCCAGTGGCGACATTATGATGAAGGCAACAGCTACGATCGAGTGGCGTTTGCAGTTTCGTTCGAATGCGGAGTTTCGACGAACAAGAATGGACCAGGAATGTGGGCCGTTGACAGCGGGGCAACACATCACATCTGCCACGACAAGTTCAAGTTTGCAAGCTTGGTCGAAGGCAATGATGGCGAGATCCTGGTGGCTGATGGCAACAAGGCGGCCATCAAAGGTGTGGGGACCATCGTGGAAAAGGTGATTCTGCCAAACGGGGAAGAGCGCGAGATCGAGATCAAGAACGCGCTCTATGTGCCCAGCATGAGCAAAAATCTGCTCTCGGTGCCGCAGATTAACAAGCACGGCAACTTCCAAGTGGTGTTTGACGGGGATACGATGTACGTCGCTCGCAAGGATTCCAATCAAGTGGTGGCAGCTGCGGATCTTGTAGACGGACTCTACTGGCTTCGCACGACGCAGCGATCGGCCAATGCGACATCACTCAGCAACGCTGTTGATCTACATGCGCGAATGGGCCATGCTCCAGTCGACGTGCTTCGCAGGATGGTGACAAGCCACATGATCAAGGACGCTCACATCCCTTCCAAGCCGAATGGATCAAGTGTGTGTCGAGGATGCCAAGAAGGGAAGATGGTCCAAAACCATTCCCGAGCAACCGTGACAAGCGCACCTACAACACCTTCGAGATGCTCCACTTCGACATCTGCGGACCCATGGAAGAAAAATCTCTGGGTGGCAGCAAGTATCTGCTGCTGATCGTGGATGAAGCCAGCGGATGCATGAAGGGTTTTTGTCTGCATTCCAAGTCAGAGAGCGAAGAGTGCATCAAGAAGTACATCACGATGATACAGACGCAGTTCAACAAGAAGGTCAAATTTGTGCGACACGATGGAGCCCGCGAGTTTGCGACGAACTCGCTTCAAGATTTCTACGAAGTCGAAGGCATCGAGCAACAAACCACGGTGCCATACGCACATCAAGCCAATGGAACTGCTGAACGCGCGATTCGAACTATCGTCACCATCGGTCGTAGCATGCTCCATCATGCCAAGTTGGACAAGTGCTTCTGGGCTGAAGCGGCAATGACGGCCGTCTATGTGAAGAACCGTTTGCCGTCACCCAAGATTCCACACAAGACACCGTTCGAGATTGTCTACAATTCTAAGCCAAGTGTCAAGCACATGCGCGTTTTTGGGTGCCAAGCATACATCTTGACCCCGAAGGAGAAACGACTCAAGTGGGATCCCAAGGCCCGGGCTGGATTGTTTTTGGGCTACGAAGAAGTGTCCAAGGCGTATCGAGTTTACGACATCGAAGCGGGGCAGGTGATGATAAGTCGCGATGTCAACTTCGATGAGTCGGCCTTTGGAATGTCGATGCTGATTTCCGATGACGATGTTGATGGCCTGGACTTCGAATCGATCGATCTTGATGATGAAGAACCGCGTCCGAGACACTTCAAACAAACAGGAAAGCGCAAGGCCCAACCCAGTCACGACAATGACGACGCAAGCATGCCCCGAGCAGTGCGCCAACGACCCGGATTGGAAGAGTCAAGTGCGCCGGATGACCTCTCTTCACGTCGAGCCAACGAAGATGAAGAAAGGAAGTCGGAGGAACAACATGACACACCGACTTCCTCCGCGTTTTGGCATGCGAGTGCAAACGCCGTCGAAGCAGCGGTCGATTTTTCGGAGCCGTCGACATTTGAAGAAGCAGTGTCTGGCCCGGACCAAGTACACTGGCGCAAGGCAATTGATGCGGAGCTCGATTCGATGAAGCTTCGCGGTGTCTTTCGTGCGGCCAAGTTACCCAACGGACAAAGCGCCATTGGCACAAAGTGGGTCTTCAAGATCAAGCGCAAGGCGGATGGGTCGATCGAGAAATACAAGGCACGACTTGTGGCCAAGGGTTTTCGCCAAAAGTATGGCATCGACTACACGGAGACGTTCTCGCCCGTGGTCAAGTATGTGACGCTGCGAATGGTCATCGCCATTACCAAGCACTTTGGATGGCCCCTCGACCAGCTCGATGTGGTGACTGCGTTCCTTTATGGAGTGATGAAGGAGAAGGTGTTCTGCGCTGTTCCGGAAGGCGTCAAGATGGAAGGTGATTTCGACTGTCTCGAGCTGATCAAGGCGATCTACGGTCTCAAGCAAGCCTCGCGTGTTTGGAACGAGACCTTCGACGAGTTCATACGCTCGATTGGTTTTCAAGCGTCGGGATTCGATCCATGTCTCTACATCATGACTTCGGAAGGCCATTGTGTTTTTGTGCTGGTCTACGTGGACGATGTCTTGGTGACTGGAAGCTCGCTCGAGATGATTGCGCGCACCAAGAACGACCTCAAGACACGCTTCGAGATGACGGACAGCGGCAAGTGTGCCTTTGTTCTTGGGATCGAGTTATTGGACGGTGAAGATGGCAGCGTGACTATGTGTCAGCGCCGTTATGTCGACGATGTCCTCAAGCGCTTTGGAATGGATGAGTGCAAGGCTGTGGCAAGTCCGGTGGACGTCAGCTCTCGACTGGTTCCAAGCAACTCTGCAAGCAAGGTGGATGTCCCATTCCGTGAAGCAGTGGGTGCTTTGATGCATCTGACGACTGCAACGCGACCGGACATCGCCTATGCTGTAAGCTTTGTGTCACGGTTCATGGAGAAACCCCAAGAAGAACACTGGGTTGCAGTCAAGCGCATCTTCCGCTACCTACAAGGCACCAAGATGCATGGAATCTGCTACAAGCCAAGTGCGAAGATCGACTTTCGTGGCTATTCAGATGCAGACTGGGCCGGTGACCTTGCTGATCGCAAATCGACGTCCGGCTACGTCTTCATGCTATTGGGTGCTCCGGTGAGTTGGGGCAGCAAGAAACAGCCAAGTGTGTCACTGTCTACAAGCGAAGCGGAGTACATCGCGCTCAGCCTGGCGATCCAAGAAGGCAAGTGGATCAATCGCTTGCTGTGCGAGATCATGGCGGCTGCAAACGAAGAAGGACCCGAGCTCGTCATCCGTGAAGACAACCAGTCGTGCATCAAGATGACGAAGAATCCGGTCAACCACGGCCGCGCTAAACACATCGACATCAAGTACCATCACATCCGTGATGAAGTCAAGCGCGGCGAAGTGAAGCTTGAATACTGCGAGACGACGTTGATGTTGGCGGACATCATGACGAAGGGACTTCACGGACCGCGTCACAAGGAGCTGACAGAGGCGCTTGGCATCCGCACGTGTTCGTATTGATGGGGGGTATTGAGGGTTACCAGTACAATCCGAACCTAGCGCGTAGTTCTTACGAGATAGTTTTTACATCGGTAATTACCTCAGAGATGATTAGACGCGTAGGATGATTGGACGCGTGTAAATCAGGTTGATTAGATGCACCATGTGATTGGATGCAGTCTAGGGTAGGCAGAAGTTAAGACCTATAAATCAATCACTTTCGAATCCTCCCTCAAGTGAGCAAGTGTTCTCTGCTTCGTTCTCTCCGGTCTCTCCGCTTCGTTTTCTCTTCGCCTCGCGCTCAAGTTACAACACGCACCTACAACACCTTCGAGATGCTCCACTTTGACATCTGCGGACCCATGGAAGAAAAATCTCTGGGTGGCAGCAAGTATCTGCTGCTGATCGTGGATGAAGCCAGCGGATGCATGAAGGGTTTTTGTCTGCATTCCAAGTCAGAGAGCGAAGAGTGCATCAAGAAGTACATCACGATGATACAGACGCAGTTCAACAAGAAGGTCAAATTTGTGCGACACGATGGAGCCCGCGAGTTTGCGACGAACTCGCTTCAAGATTTCTACGAAGTCGAAGGCATCGAGCAACAAACCACGGTGCCATACGCACATCAAGCCAATGGAACTGCTGAACGCGCGATTCGAACTATCGTCACCATCGGTCGTAGCATGCTCCATCATGCCAAGTTGGACAAGTGCTTCTGGGCTGAAGCGGCAATGACGGCCGTCTATGTGAAGAACCGTTTGCCGTCACCCAAGATTCCACACAAGACACCGTTCGAGATTGTCTACAATTCTAAGCCAAGTGTCAAGCACATGCGCATTTTTGGGTGCCAAGCATACATCTTGACCCCGAAGGAGAAACGACTCAAGTGGGATCCCAAGGCCCGGGCTGGATTGTTTTTGGGCTACGAAGAAGTGTCCAAGGCGTATCGAGTTTACGACATCGAAGCGGGGCAGGTGATGATAAGTCGCGATGTCAACTTCGATGAGTCGGCCTTTGGAATGTCGATGCTGATTTCCGATGACGATGTTGATGGCCTGGACTTCGAATCGATCGATCTTGATGATGAAGAACCGCGTCCGAGACACTTCAAACAAACAGGAAAGCGCAAGGCCCAACCCAGTCACGACAATGACGACGCAAGCATGCCCCGAGCAGTGCGCCAACGACCCGGATTGGAAGAGTCAAGTGCGCCGGATGACCTCTCTTCACGTCGAGCCAACGAAGATGAGGAAAGGAAGTCGGAGGAACAACATGACACACCGGCTTCCTCCACGTTCTGGCATGCGAGTGCAAACGCCGTCGAAGCAGCGGTCGATTTTTCGGAGCCGTCGACATTTGAAGAAGCAGTGTCTGGCCCGGACCAAGTACACTGGCGCAAGGCAATTTATGCGGAGCTCGATTCGATGAAGCTTCGCGGTGTCTTTCGTGCGGCCAAGTTACCCAACGGACAAAGCGCCATTGGCACAAAGTGGGTCTTCAAGATCAAGCGCAAGGCGGATGGGTCGATCGAGAAATACAAGGCACGACTTGTGGCCAAGGGTTTTCGCCAAAAGTATGGCATCGACTACACGGAGACGTTCTCGCCCGTGGTCAAGTATGTGACGCTGCGAATGGTCATCGCCATTACCAAGCACTTTGGATGGCCCCTCGACCAGCTCGATGTGGTGACTGCGTTCCTTTATGGAGTGATGAAGGAGAAGGTGTTCTGCGCTGTTCCGGAAGGCGTCAAGATGGAAGGTGATTTCGACTGTCTCGAGCTGATCAAGGTGATCTACGGTCTCAAGCAAGCCTCGCGTGTTTGGAACGAGACCTTCGACGAGTTCATACGCTCGATTGGTTTTCAAGCGTCGGGATTCGATCCATGTCTCTACATCATGACTTCGGAAGGCCATTGTGTTTTTGTGCTGGTCTACGTGGACGATGTCTTGGTGACTGGAAGCTCGCTCGAGATGATTGTGCGCACCAAGAACGACCTCAAGACACGCTTCGAGATGACGGACAGCGGCAAGTGTGCCTTTGTTCTTGGGATCGAGTTATTGGACGGTGAAGATGGCAGCGTGACTATGTGTCAGCGCCGTTATGTCGACGATGTCCTCAAGCGCTTTGGAATGGATGAGTGCAAGGCTGTGGCAAGTCCGGTGGACGTCAGCTCTCGACTGGTTCCAAGCAACTCTGCAAGCAAGGTGGATGTCCCATTCCGTGAAGCAGTGAGTGCTTTGATGCATCTGACGACTGTAACGCGACCGGACATCGCCTATGCTGTAAGCTTTGTGTCACGGTTCATGGAGAAACCCCAAGAAGAACACTGGGTTGCAGTCAAGCGCATCTTCCGCTACCTACAAGGCACCAAGATGCATGGAATCTGCTACAAGCCAAGTGCGAAGATCGACTTTCGTGGCTATTCAGATGCAGACTGGGCCGGTGACCTTGCTGATCGCAAATCGACGTCCGGCTACGTCTTCATGCTATTGGGTGCTCCGGTGAGTTGGGGCAGCAAGAAACAGCCAAGTGTGTCACTGTCTACAAGCGAAGCGGAGTACATCGCGCTAAGCCTGGCGATCCAAGAAGGCAAGTGGATCAATCGCTTGCTGTGCGAGATCATGGCGGCTGCAAACGAAGAAGGACCCGAGCTCGTCATCCGTGAAGACAATCAATCTTGCATCAAGATGACGAAGAATCCTGCCAGCCATGGCCGTGCCAAGCGCATTGCATCAAGTACCATCACATCCGTGACGAGGTCAAGTGCGGCGAAGTCAAGCTTGAATACTGCGAGACGACGTTGATGTTGGCGGACATCATGACGAAGGGACTTCACGGACCGCGTCACAAGGAGCTGACAGAGGCGCTTGGCATCCGCACGTGTTCGTATTGAGGGGGGGTATTGAGGGTAACCGGTACAATCCGAACCTAGCGCGTAGTTCTTACGAGATAGTTTTTACATCGGTAATTACCTCAGAGATGATTAGACGCGTAGGATGATTGGACGCGTGTAAATCAGGTTGATTAGATGCACCATGTGATTGGATGCAGTCTAGGGTAGGCAGAAGTTAAGACCTATAAATCAATCACTTTCGAATCCTCCCTCAAGTGAGCAAGTGTTCTCTGCTTCGTTCTCTCCGGTCTCTCCGCTTCGTTTTCTCTTCGCCTCGCGCTCAAGTTACAACACGCACCTACAACACCTTCGAGATGCTCCACTTTGACATCTGCAGACCCATGGAAGAAAAATCTCTGGGTGGCAGCAAGTATCTGCTGCTGATCGTGGATGAAGCCAGCGGATGCATGAAGGGTTTTTGTCTGCATTCCAAGTCAGAGAGCGAAGAGTGCATCAAGAAGTACATCACGATGATACAGACGCAGTTCAACAAGAAGGTCAAATTTGTGCGACACGATGGAGCCCGCGAGTTTGCGACGAACTCGCTTCAAGATTTCTACGAAGTCGAAGGCATCGAGCAACAAACCACGGTGCCATACGCACATCAAGCCAATGGAACTGCTGAACGCGCGATTCGAACTATCGTCACCATCGGTCGTAGCATGCTCCATCATGCCAAGTTGGACAAGTGCTTCTGGGCTGAAGCGGCAATGACGGCCGTCTATGTGAAGAACCGTTTGCCGTCACCCAAGATTCCACACAAGACACCGTTCGAGATTGTCTACAATTCTAAGCCAAGTGTCAAGCACATGCGCATTTTTGGGTGCCAAGCATACATCTTGACCCCGAAGGAGAAACGACTCAAGTGGGATCCCAAGGCCCGGGCTGGATTGTTTTTGGGCTACGAAGAAGTGTCCAAGGCGTATCGAGTTTACGACATCGAAGCGGGGCAGGTGATGATAAGTCGCGATGTCAACTTCGATGAGTCGGCCTTTGGAATGTCGATGCTGATTTCCGATGACGATGTTGATGGCCTGGACTTCGAATCGATCGATCTTGATGATGAAGAACCGCGTCCGAGACACTTCAAACAAACAGGAAAGCGCAAGGCCCAACCCAGTCACGACAATGACGACGCAAGCATGCCCCGAGCAGTGCGCCAACGACCCGGATTGGAAGAGTCAAGTGCGCCGGATGACCTCTCTTCACGTCGAGCCAACGAAGATGAAGAAAGGAAGTCGGAGGAACAACATGACACACCGACTTCCTCCACGTTCTGGCATGCGAGTGCAAACGCCGTCGAAGCAGCGGTCGATTTTTCGGAGCCGTCGACATTTGAAGAAGCAGTGTCTGGCCCGGACCAAGTACACTGGCGCAAGGCAATTGATGCGGAGCTCGATTCGATGAAGCTTCGCGGTGTCTTTCGTGCGGCCAAGTTACCCAACGGACAAAGCGCCATTGGCACAAAGTGGGTCTTCAAGATCAAGCGCAAGGCGGATGGGTCGATCGAGAAATACAAGGCACGACTTGTGGCCAAGGGTTTTTGCCAAAAGTATGGCATCGACTACACGGAGACGTTCTCGCCCGTGGTCAAGTATGTGACGCTGCGAATGGTCATCGCCATTACCAAGCACTTTGGATGGCCCCTCGACCAGCTCGATGTGGTGACTGCGTTCCTGTATGGAGTGATGAAGGAGAAGGTGTTCTGCGCTGTTCCGGAAGGCGTCAAGATGGAAGGTGATTTCGACTGTCTCGAGCTGATCAAGGTGATCTACGGTCTCAAGCAAGCCTCGCGTGTTTGGAAAGAGACCTTCGACGAGTTCATACGCTCGATTGGTTTTCAAGCGTCGGGATTCGATCCATGTCTCTACATCATGACTTCGGAAGGCCATTGTGTTTTTGTGCTGGTCTACGTGGACGATGTCTTGGTGACTGGAAGCTCGCTCGAGATGATTGCGCGCACCAAGAACGACCTCAAGACACGCTTCGAGATGACGGACAGCGGCAAGTGTGCCTTTGTTCTTGGGATCGAGTTATTGGACGGTGAAGATGGCAGCGTGACTATGTGTCAGCGCCGTTATGTCGACGATGTCCTCAAGCGCTTTGGAATGGATGAGTGCAAGGCTGTGGCAAGTCCGGTGGACGTCAGCTCTCGACTGGTTCCAAGCAACTCTGCAAGCAAGGTGGATGTCCCATTCCGTGAAGCAGTGGGTGCTTTGATGCATCTGACGACTGCAACGCGACCGAACATCGCCTATGCTGTAAGCTTTGTGTCACGGTTCATGGAGAAACCCCAAGAAGAACACTGGGTTGCAGTCAAGCGCATCTTCCGCTACCTACAAGGCACCAAGATGCATGGAATCTGCTACAAGCCAAGTGCGAAGATCGACTTTCGTGGCTATTCAGATGCAGACTGGGCCGGTGACCTTGCTGATCGCAAATCGACGTCCGGCTACGTCTTCATGCTATTGGGTGCTCCGGTGAGTTGGGGCAGCAAGAAACAGCCAAGTGTGTCACTGTCTACAAGCGAAGCGGAGTACATCGCGCTCAGCCTGGCGATCCAAGAAGGCAAGTGGATCAATCGCTTGCTGTGCGAGGTCATGGCGGCTGCAAACGAAGAAGGACCCGAGCTCGTCATCCGTGAAGACAACCAATCGTGCATCAAGATGACGAAGAATCCGGTCAACCACGGCCGCGCTAAACACATCGACATCAAGTACCATCACATCCGTGATGAAGTCAAGCGCGGCGAAGTGAAGCTTGAATACTGCGAGACGACGTTGATGTTGGCGGACATCATGACGAAGGGACTTCACGGTCCGCGTCACAAGGACTTGACGGCGGCGCTTGGCATCCGTGCGTGTTCGGATTGAGGGGGCGTATTGAGGGTTACCGGTACAATCCGAACCTAGCGCGTAGTTCTTACGAGATAGTTTTTACATCGGTAATTACCTCAGAGATGATTAGACGCGTAGGATGATTGGACGCGTGTAAATCAGGTTGATTAGATGCACCATGTGATTGGATGCAGTCTAGGGTAGGCAGAAGTTAAGACCTATAAATAAATCACTTTCGAATCCTCCCTCAAGTGAGCAAGTGTTCTCTGCTTCGTTCTCTCCGGTCTCTCCGCTTCGTTTTCTCTTCGCCTCGCGCTCAAGTTACAACATTGGTCGTGATCATCTTGCGAAGTACATCGACTGGAGCATGACCCATTCTCGCATGTAGATCGGCACCACTGGTTCCACTTGTTGTCAAATTCGCTGATCGCTGAGTCGTCCGAAGCCAGTAGAGTCCATCCACGAGATCCGCTGACGCCACCACTTGCTGTGAGTTCTTGAGAGTCATATACATCTTGGACCCGTCAAACACGACTTGAAACTTGCCATGGCTGTTAATCTGTGGCACCGAGAGCAGGTTCTTGCTCATACTTGGAACATATAGCGCGTTCTTGATTTCGATCTCACGCTCTTCACCGTTGGGCAGAACCACCTTTTCCATGATGGTTCCCACACCCTTGATGGCCACCTTGTTGCCATCAGCCACCAAGAGTTCGCCCTCATTGCGCTCTGCCAAATTTGCGAACTTGGTCTTGTCGTGGCAAATGTGGTGCGTTGCACCACTGTCGACGGCCCACATTCCAGACACGTCCTTGCTCGTCGAAACTCCACATTCGAACGAGACTGCAAACGCCACTCGATCGTAGCCATTGTCTTCATCATGATGTCCCCACTGGACATTGTTAGCCCCGCGTCCACGACCATTGCCGCCGCGTCGGGCTCCCCGACCTTCGTTCTTCTGCTTTGTCCAGCAACGATCCACCGTGTGTCCCACCTTGCCACAATACGTGCATTGGTAGGGCTCACGCTCGGCGCTGAATGCCTTGCTTGCATCTTCAGCCTTCACCGTAGTCGCTGTCGTTGTCCCTTTTTCTCCTTGACGCTTGGCATGCTCATTCGTCAGGACTCTCACCACATCTTGAGTGCGAAGCTCGGTGCTGCTCATTTCCATGTTGAGCACCACATTTTCGTAGCTCTTCGGAAGACTGAGTAGCAGACAAATTGCAACGTCTTCGTCTTCCATCTTCGCACCGATGCCGCTAAGCTTGGCGGAGATGTTGAGGACCTCGTTGCAGTGATGCATGACGTTCGCGCCTTCAGCCATCTTGATACTGAAAAGTTGTCGCTTGAGGTAGATGCGTCCTGCCTTCTGCGACCCACCGTACAGCGTCTTCAGACTTGTCCACGCAACCCAGGCTTCCTCGCAGTTGTCCAGCACTTGATGGTAGTCCGCGTTCATGTGCAGCAGCATCATACCAAACGCGACGTTGCTTGCCTTGACGTAGTCATCGGACGCTCGCGGGTCGGTGAAAGTCGGAGTCACTTCACGGTTGACGACGTGCCAGACGGACTTCGTCAAAAACACACCGCGCATGTACCGGCTCCACGTTGCGTAATTGTCTCCGTTGAACTTGTCAATGGAGGCGTTGCTGGTGGACGACATGGCACTTGGGCTCATAACCTGTTGCATTGTAGATCGGAGCGAGGAAAGCGGAGCGAACGGAGCGGAGAGACCGAAGAGAGTAGAGCAGAAAACACTTGCCCAATAGTTGGAAGATTCGAAAGTGATTGATTATCGGGGCTTACTACTTACTACATGATTTATATGTAGTTTACATATAAATCATGTGAAGCGTCTCATCATCCTACGCGTCTAATCAACTATGGTAATTACCGTAAGAACTACGTCGTAAATACTAAGCTGAACAGGCGGTTCGGATTGGATCGGTCACGGTTACCAATACTGGTAGAAAACCGATGACCGTCAACAGACGCCACGATGTACTTCTTGATTCACGTTTCACAGTCGAACTTGGCGCCCAGACTGAAGCCCATCATGCATCCACTGCCTTCATCTTCTATCAGCAGCAATTACTTGGCTCCAACTAACGAGTCGGCTTCCATCGGGTCACACGTGTCGATGTGCAGAAGCTCAAACGGATCATAGTGACGCTTGTTCGGGATGCTTGGAAACGGCCGCTGCACCATTTCTTCTTCTTGAAAACCACGACGCACGCTTGATTCGCTTGATCTTGGTGGTATCTTGACATCCTTGATCATGTTCTTGGAAACCATCCTGTACAGGACCTCAGTTGGTGCGTGGCCTATACGCGTATGATGATCTTCGTCTCATGATCGCAATGTAGCATTCACTGATCTTTGCAGTGTACGAAGTCAGTCGATTCCGCCTACAAGTTCTGCCATTGCCATCACTTGCTCGGAGTCTTTGTGTAAAATCTTCATCTCGGCACCATGGAACATCACTTAAGCTTTGCAGCTCTTATTGATTTGCGGAATTGACAGCAGATGTATGCTCATTCTTGGGACGTAAAGCGCGTTCTTGATATTGTTGCAGTGTAGATCGGAGCGAGGAAAGCGGAGCGAACGGAGCGGAGAGACCGAAGAGAGTAGAGCAGAAAACACTTGCCCAATAGTTGGAAGATTCGAAAGTGATTGATTATCGGGGCTTACTACTTACTACATGATTTATAGGTGGTGTACATATAAATCATGTGAAGCGTCTCATCATCCTACGCGTCTAATCAACTATGGCAATTACCGTAAGAACTACGTCGTAAATACTAAGCTGAACAGGCGGTTCGGATTGGATCGGTCACGGTTACCAATACTGGTAGAAAACCGATGACCGTCAACACGCCCCCTCAATCCGAATGCTCACGAATCCCGAGAGCCGTCGTCATCTCCTTGTGGCGTGGCCCGTGAAGTCCCTTCGTCATGATGTCCGCTAACATCACCGCAGTTTCACAGTACTTGAGCTTCACTTCACCGCGCTTGACCTCATCACGGATGTGATGGTACTTGATATCAATGTGCTTGGCACGGCCGTGGTTGACTGGGTTCTTCGTCATCTTGATAAATGACTGATTGTCTTCATGAATCATGAGTTCCGGTCCTTCTTCATTGGCAGCCATCACGATCTCACAAAGCAGACGATGAATCCACTTGCCCTCTTGAATCGCCAAGCTGAGTGCGATGTATTCGGCTTCACTCGTGGACAACGAAACACTTGGCTGCTTCTTGCTGCCCCAACTGACTGGCGCACCGAGTAGCGTGAACGTGTACCCCGATGTTGACTTGCGGTCGGTAAGATCACCAGCCCAATCCGCATCCGAATATCCACGGAAGTCGATCCTTGCACTTGGCTTGTAGCAAATTCCATGCGTCTTGGTGCCTTTTAGGTAGCGAAAGATACGCTCAACTGCAACCCAGTGTTCTTCTTGGGGATTTTCCATGAACCGCGACACATAGCCTACAGCAAACGCAATGTCCGGACGCGTTGCAGTGGTCAGGTGCATCAACGCACCAACAGCTTCGCGAAAAGGAGCATCGACCTTGGTAGTTGCATCACTTGAAACAAGTCGAGAGCTCATGTCGACTGGACTTGCGACTGCCTTGCAATCATCCATGCCAAAGCGCTTGAGGATATCATCGACATAACGGCGCTGACACAATGTAACGCTTCCATCTTCTCCATTCAAAAGCTCAATTCCAAGAACAAATGCACACTTGCCGCTATCAGTCATCTCGAAGCGTGTCTTCAGGTCTTCCTTGGTGTGTGCAATCAACTTGGGTGAGCTTCCTGTCACCAACACGTCATCCACATAGACCAGTATAAACACGCAATGGCCGTCCGAAGTCTTGATGTAGAGACATGGGTCGAAGCCTGACACTTGAAATCCAATGGAACACACACTCGTCAAAAGTCTCGTTCCATACTCGCAAAGCTTGCTTCAGGCCGTAAATTGCCTTCACCAATTCCAGGCAGTCGAACGTACTGTCAAGTTCGACGCCTTCAGGAATCACGCAGAACACCTTCTCCTTCATGACGCCATACAGGAAAGCTGTCACCACATCAAGCTGGTCGATGGGCCATCCAAAATGCTTGGAAATTGCGATCACCATTCGCAGCGTCACATACTTGACCACAGGCGAAAACGTCTCCGTGTAGTCGATTCCATACTTTTGGCGGAAACCCTTGGCCACAAGTCGTGCCTTGTACTTCTCGATTGACCCATCCGCCTTGCGCTTGATCTTGAACACCCATTTTGTGCCAATGGCGCGTTGTCCGTTGGGCAGCTTGGCTGCACGAAACACACCGCGAAGTCGCATTGACTCGAGCTCTGCATGAATTGCTTTTCTCCAGTGCACTTGGTCAGGGCCGCTTACTGCTGCTTCAAATATTGAGGGCTCTGATAAGTCCACTGCTGCTTCAACGGCATTTGCACTCGCACGCCAAAACACAGGCGGTGTTGAATCACCAGAATCCTTCGTTTCTTCGTCTTCTTCTTGTCGTGACGAGTTGTTTTCCGGCGCGCTTGACTCTTCTAGTCCTGGTCGTTGACGCACTGCACGCGGTCGTGGAGCTGCTGTATCTTCATCATTGAGTCGGTTCTTGCGCTTGCCTGTTTGCTTGTACTCCATTTGACGCAGCTCTTCGTCACCAAGATCCAGCAATTCGAATTCCAGGTCATCGACATCTTCATCAGTGATCGGCAGTTGAAGTCCAAAGGTGGACTCGTCGAAGTTGACATCGCGGCTGATAACCACCTGCCCCGCCTCGATGTCATAAACACGATATGCCTTCGAAACTTCTTCGTAGCCCACGAATATGCCAGCGCGAGCCTTTGGATCCCACTTGAGTCGATTCTCTTTAGGCGTCAGTATGTATGTCTGACACCCGAATGTTCGCATGTGCTTGACGCTTGGTTTCAAGTTGTAGACGATCTCAAACGGGGTCTTGTGCACGACTTTAGGTGACGGCAGTCGATTCTTGACGTAGATGGCCGTCATCGCTGCTTCGGCCCAGAAACACTTGTTCAGCTTGGCATGATGTAGCATGCTACGACCAATCGTGACAATCGTCCGAATGCTCTCTCCGCTGTTCCGTTGGTTTGATGCGCGTACGGGACCGTGGTCTGCTGCTCAATACCTTGGTCTTGGTAGAACGCCTTGAGAGAGTTGGTTGCAAACTCTCGAGCTCCATCGTGACGCACGAACTTGACTTTCTTACAGAATTGCGTCTGTACCATGGTGATATATTTCCGGATGTAGTCTTCACTCTCGGACTTCACTCGTAGACAAAAGCCCTTCATGCATCCACTGGCTTCGTCGATGATCAGCAGCAAATATTTGCTGCCACCGAGCGAATCCTTTTCCATGGGCCCGCAGATGTCCAGATGAAGTAGCTCAAACGTATCGTAGCTGCGCTTGTCTCGGTTGCTTGGAAATGGTTTTTGGACCATTTTCCCTTGTTGACATCCTCGACATGCAGTTGCTCCACCCGACTTGAGAGGGACTCGCACATCCTTGATCATGTTGGTCGTGATCATCTTGCGAAGTACATCGACTGGAGCATGACCCATTCTCGCATGTAGATCGGCACCACTGGTTCCACTTGTTGTCACATTCGCTGATCGTTGAGTCGTCCGAAGCCAGTAGAGTCCATCCACGAGATCCGCTGTCGCCACCACTTGCTGTGAGTTCTTGAGAGTCACATACATCTTGGACCCGTCAAACACGACTTGAAAGTTGCCATGGCTGTTAATCTGTGGCACCGAGAGCAGGTTCTTGCTCATACTTGGAACATATAGCGCGTTCTTGATTTCGATCTCACGCTCTTCACCGTTGGGCAGAACCACCTTTTCCATGATGGTTCCCACACCCTTGATGGCCACCTTGTTGCCATCAGCCACCAAGAGTTCGCCCTCATTGCGCTCTGCCAAATTTGCGAACTTGGTCTTGTCGTGGCAAATGTGGTGCGTTGCACCACTGTCGACGGCCCACATTCCAGACACGTCCTTGCTCGTCGAAACTCCACATTCGAACGAGACTGCAAACGCCACTCGATCGTAGCCATTGTCTTCATCATGATGTCCCCACTGGACATTGTTAGCCCCGCGTCCACGACCATTGCCGCCGCGTCGGGCTCCCCGACCTTCGTTCTTCTGCTTTGTCCAGCAACGATCCACCGTGTGTCCCACCTTGCCACAATACGTGCATTGGTAGGGCTCACGCTCGGCGCTGAATGCCTTGCTTGCATCTTCAGCCTTCACCGTAGTCGCTGTCGTTGTCCCTTTTTCTCCTTGACGCTTGGCATGCTCATTCGTCAGGACTCTCACCACATCTTGAGTGCGAAGCTCGGTGCTGCTCATTTCCATGTTGAGCACCACATTTTCGTAGCTCTTCGGAAGACTGAGTAGCAGACAAATTGCAACGTCTTCGTCTTCCATCTTCGCACCGATGCCGCTAAGCTTGGCGGAGATGTTGAGGACCTCGTTGCAGTGATGCATGACGTTCGCGCCTTCAGCCATCTTGATACTGAAAAGTTGTCGCTTGAGGTAGATGCGTCCTGCCTTCTGCGACCCACCGTACAGCGTCTTCAGACTTGTCCACGCAACCCAGGCTTCCTCGCAGTTGTCCAGCACTTGATGGTAGTCCGCGTTCATGTGCAGCAGCATCATACCAAACGCGACGTTGCTTGCCTTGACGTAGTCATCGGACGCTCGCGGGTCGGTGAAAGTCGGAGTCACTTCACGGTTGACGACGTGCCAGACGGACTTCGTCAAAAACACACCGCGCATGTACCGGCTCCACGTTGCGTAATTGTCTCCGTTGAACTTGTCAATGGAGGCGTTGCTGGTGGACGACATGGCGCTTGGGCTCATAACCTGTTGCATTGTAGATCGGAGCGAGGAAAGCGGAGCGAACGGAGCGGAGAGACCGAAGAGAGTAGAGCAGAAAACACTTGCCCAATAGTTGGAAGATTCGAAAGTGATTGATTATCGGGGCTTACTACTTACTACATGATTTATAGGTGGTGTACATATAAATCATGTGAAGCGTCTCATCATCCTACGCGTCTAATGAACTATGGTAATTACCGTAAGAACTACATCGTAAATACTAAGCTGAACAGGCGGTTCGGATTGGATCGGTCACGGTTACCAATACTGGTAGAAAACCGATGACCGTCAACAGACGCCACGATGTACTTCTTGATTCACGTTTCACAGTCGAACTTGGCGCCCAGACTGAAGCCCATCATGCATCCACTGCCTTCATCTTCTATCAGCAGCAATTACTTGGCTCCAACTAACGAGTCGGCTTCCATCGGGTCACACGTGTCGATGTGCAGAAGCTCAAACGGATCATAGTGACGCTTGTTCGGGATGCTTGGAAACGGCCGCTGCACCATTTCTTCTTCTTGAAAACCACGACGCACGCTTGATTCGCTTGATCTTGGTGGTATCTTGACATCCTTGATCATGTTCTTGGAAACCATCCTGTACAGGACCTCAGTTGGTGCGTGGCCTATACGCGTATGATGATCTTCGTCTCATGATCGCAATGTAGCATTCACTGATCTTTGCAGTGTACGAAGTCAGTCGATTCCGCCTACAAGTTCTGCCATTGCCATCACTTGCTCGGAGTCTTTGTGTAAAATCTTCATCTCGGCACCATGGAACATCACTTAAGCTTTGCAGCTCTTATTGATTTGCGGAATTGACAGCAGATGTATGCTCATTCTTGGGACGTAAAGCGCGTTCTTGATATTGTTGCAGTGTAGATCGGAGCGAGGAAAGCGGAGCGAACGGAGCGGAGAGACCGAAGAGAGTAGAGCAGAAAACACTTGCCCAATAGTTGGAAGATTCGAAAGTGATTGATTATCGGGGCTTACTACTTACTACATGATTTATAGGTGGTGTACATATAAATCATGTGTGAAGCGTCTCATCATCCTACGCGTCTAATCAACTATGGTAATTACCGTAAGAACTACGTCGTAAATACTAAGCTGAACAGGCGGTTCGGATTGGATCGGTCACGGTTACCAATACTGGTAGAAAACCGATGACCGTCAACACGCCCCCTCAATCCGAATGCTCACGAATCCCAAGAGCCGTCGTCATCTCCTTGTGGCGTGGTCCATGAAGTCCCTTCGTCATGATGTCCGCTAACATCACCGCAGTTTCACAGTACTTGAGCTTCACTTCACCGCGCTTGACCTCATCACGGATGTGATGGTACTTGATATCAATGTGCTTGGCACGGCCGTGGTTGACTGGGTTCTTCGTCATCTTGATAAATGACTGATTGTCTTCATGAATCATGAGTTCCGGTCCTTCTTCATTGGCAGCCATCACGATCTCACAAAGCAGACGATGAATCCACTTGCCCTCTTGAATCGCCAAGCTGAGTGCGATGTATTCGGCTTCACTCGTGGACAACGAAACACTTGGCTGCTTCTTGCTGCCCCAACTGACTGGCGCACCGAGTAGCGTGAACGTGTACCCCGATGTTGACTTGCGGTCGGTAAGATCACCAGCCCAATCCGCATCCGAATATCCACGGAAGTCGATCCTTGCACTTGGCTTGTAGCAAATTCCATGCGTCTTGGTGCCTTGTAGGTAGCGAAAGATACGCTTAACTGCAACCCAGTGTTCTTCTTGGGGATTTTTCATGAACCGCGACACATAGCCCACAGCAAACGCAATGTCCGGACGCGTTGCAGTGGTCAGGTGCATCAACGCACCAACAGCTTCGCGAAAAGGAGCATCGACCTTGGTAGTTGCATCACTTGAAACAAGTCGAGAGCTCATGTCGACTGGACTTGCGACTGCCTTGCAATCATCCATGCCAAAGCGCTTGAGGATATCATCGACATACCGACGCTGACATAGTGTCACACTGCCATCTTCACCGTCCAAAAGCTCAATTCCAAGAACAAATGCACACTTGCCGCTATCAGTCATCTCGAAGCGTGTCTTCAGGTCTTCCTTGGTGTGTGCAATCAGCTCGAGCGAGCTTCCAGTCACCAAGACGTCGTCCACGTAGACCAGTATAAACACGCAATGGCCGTCCGAAGTCTTGATGTAGAGACATGGGTCGAAGCCTGGCACTTGAAATCCAATGGAACACACACTCGTCAAAAGTCTCGTTCCATACTCGCAAAGCTTGCTTCAGGCCGTAAATTGCCTTCACCAATTCCAGGCAGTCGAACGTACTGTCAAGTTCGACGCCTTCAGGAATCACGCAGAACACTTGTTCCTTCATGACGCCATACAGGAAAGCTGTCACCACATCAAGCTGGTCGATGGGCCATCCAAAATGCTTGGAAATTGCGATCACCATTCGCAGCGTCACATACTTGACCACAGGCGAAAACGTCTCCGTGTAGTCGATGCATACTTTTGGCGGAAACCCTTGGCCACAAGTCGTGCCTTGTACTTCTCGATTGACCCATCCGCCTTGCGCTTGATCTTGAACACCCATTTTGTGCCAATGGCGCGTTGTCCGTTGGGCAGCTTGGCTGCACGAAACACACCGCGAAGTCGCATTGACTCGAGCTCTGCATGAATTGCTTTTCTCCAGTGCACTTGGTCAGGGCCGCTTACTGCTGCTTCAAATGTTGAGGGTTCTGATAAGTCCACTGCTGCTTCAACGGCATTTGCACTCGCACGCCAAAACACAGGCGGTGTTGAATCACCAGAATCCTTCGTTTCTTCGTCTTCTTCTTGGCGTGACGAGTTGTTTTCCGGCGCGCTTGACTCTTCTAGTCCTGGTCGTTGACGCACTGCACGCGGTCGTGGAGCTGCTGTATCTTCATCATTGAGTCGGTTCTTGCGCTTGCCTGTTTGCTTGTACTCCATTTGACGCAGCTCTTCGTCATCAAGATCCAGCAATTCGAAGTCCAGGTCATCGACATCTTCATCAGTGATCGGCAGTTGAAGTCCAAAGGTGGACTCGTCGAAGTTGACATCGCGGCTGATAACCACCTGCCCCGCCTCGATGTCATAAACACGATATGCCTTCGAAACTTCTTCGTAGCCCACGAATATGCCAGCGCGAGCCTTTGGATCCCACTTGAGTCGATTCTCTTTAGGCGTCAGTATGTATGTCTGACACCCGAATGTTCGCATGTGCTTGACGCTTGGTTTCAAGTTGTAGACGATCTCAAACGGGGTCTTGTGCACGACTTTAGGTGACGGCAGTCGATTCTTGACGTAGATGGCCGTCATCGCTGCTTCGGCCCAGAAACACTTGTCCAGTTTGGCATGATGAAGCATGCTTCGGCCGATCGTGACAATAGTCCTAATTGCACGCTCTGCTGTTCCGTTTGTTTGATGTGAATACGGCACCGTTGTCTGCTGTTCAATGCCTTCGTCTTCGTAGAACAGTTGAAGCGAGTTGGTTGCAAACTCGCGAGCTCCGTCGTGTCGCACGAACTTGACCTTCTTACAGAATTGCGTCTGTACCATGGTGATATATTTCCGGATGTAGTCTTCACTCTCGGACTTCACTCGTAGACAAAAGCCCTTCATGCATCCACTGGCTTCGTCGATGATCAGCAGCAAATATTTGCTGCCACCGAGCGAATCCTTTTCCATGGGCCCGCAGATGTCCAGATGAAGTAGCTCAAACGTATCGTAGCTGCGCTTGTCTCGGTTGCTTGGAAATGGTTTTTGGACCATTTTCCCTTGTTGACATCCTCGACATGTAGTTGCTCCACCCGACTTGAGAGGGACTCGCACATCCTTGATCATGTTGGTCGTGATCATCTTGCGAAGTACACGACTGGAGCATGACCCATTCTCGCATGTAGATCGGCACAACTGGTTCCACTTGTTGTCACATTCGCTGATCGTTGAGTCGTCCGAAGCCAGTAGAGTCCATCCACGAGATCCGCTGTCGCCACCACTTGCTGTGAGTTCTTGAGAGTCACATACATCTTGGACCCGTCAAACACGACTTGAAAGTTGCCATGGCTGTTAATCTGTGGCACCGAGAGCAGGTTCTTGCTCATACTTGGAACATATAGCGCGTTCTTGATTTCGATCTCACGCTCTTCACCGTTGGGCAGAACCACCTTTTCCATGATGGTTCCCACACCCTTGATGGCCACCTTGTTGCCATCAGCCACCAAGAGTTCGCCCTCATTGCGCTCTGCCAAATTTGCGAACTTGGTCTTGTCGTGGCAAATGTGGTGCGCTGCACCACTGTCGACGGCCCACATTCCAGACACGTCCTTGCTCGTCGAAACTCCACATTCGAACGAGACTGCAAACGCCACTCGATCGTAGCCATTGCCTTCATCATGATGTCCCCACTGGACACTGTTAGCCCCGCGTCCACGACCATTGCCGCCGCGTCGGGCTCCCCGACCTTCGTTCTTCTGCTTTGTCCAGCAACGATCCACCGTGTGTCCCACCTTGCCACAATACGTGCATTGGTAGGGCTGACGCTCGGCGCTGAATGCCTTGCTTGCATCTTCAGCCTTCACCGTAGTCGCTGTCGTTGTCCCTTTTTCTCCTTGAAGCTTGACATGCTCATTCGTCAGGACTCTCACCACATATTGAGTGCGAAGCTCGGTGCTGCTCATTTCCATGTTGAGCACCACATTTTCGTAGCTCTTCGGAAGACTGAGTAGCAGACAAATTGCAACGTCTTCGTCTTCCATCTTCGCACCGATGCCGCTAAGCTTGGCGGAGATGTTGAGGACCTCGTTGCAGTAATGCATGACGTTCGCGCCTTCAGCCATCTTGATACTGAAAAGTTGTCGCTTGAGGTAGATGCGTCCTGCCTTCTGCGACCCACCGTACAGCGTCTTCAGACTTGTCCACGCAACCCAGGCTTCCTCGCAGTTGTCCAGCACTTGATGGTAGTCCGCGTTCATGTGCAGCAGCATCATACCAAACGCGACGTTGCTTGCCTTGACGTAGTCATCGGACGCTCGCGGGTCGGTGAAAGTCGGAGTCACTTCACGGTTGACGACGTGCCAGACGGACTTCGTCAAAAACACACCGCGCATGTACCGGCTCCACGTTGCGTAATTGTCTCCGTTGAACTTGTCAATGGAGGCGTTGCTGGTGGACGACATGGCGCTTGGGCTCATAACCTGTTGCATTGTAGATCGGAGCGAGGAAAGCGGAGCGAACGGAGCGGAGAGACCGAAGAGAGTAGAGCAGAAAACACTTGCCCAATAGTTGGAAGATTCGAAAGTGATTGATTATCGGGGCTTACTACTTACTACATGATTTATAGGTGGTTTACATATAAATCATGTGAAGCGTCTCATCATCCTACGCGTCTAATCAACTATGGTAATTACCGTAAGAACTACGTCGTAAATACTAAGCTGAACAGGCGGTTCGGATTGGATCGGTCACGGTTACCAATACTGGTAGAAAACCGATGACCGTCAACAGACGCCACGATGTACTTCTTGATTCACGTTTCACAGTCGAACTTGGCGCCCAGACTGAAGCCCATCATGCATCCACTGCCTTCATCTTCTATCAGCAGCAATTACTTGGCTCCAACTAACGAGTCGGCTTCCATCGGGTCACACGTGTCGATGTGCAGAAGCTCAAACGGATCATAGTGACGCTTGTTCGGGATGCTTGGAAACGGCCGCTGCACCATTTCTTCTTCTTGAAAACCACGACGCACGCTTGATTCGCTTGATCTTGGTGGTATCTTGACATCCTTGATCATGTTCTTGGAAACCATCCTGTACAGGACCTCAGTTGGTGCGTGGCCTATACGCGTATGATGATCTTCGTCTCATGATCGCAATGTAGCATTCACTGATCTTTGCAGTGTACGAAGTCAGTCGATTCCGCCTACAAGTTCTGCCATTGCCATCACTTGCTCGGAGTCTTTGTGTAAAATCTTCATCTCGGCACCATGGAACATCACTTAAGCTTTGCAGCTCTTATTGATTTGCGGAATTGACAGCAGATGTATGCTCATTCTTGGGACGTAAAGCGCGTTCTTGATATTGTTGCAGTGTAGATCGGAGCGAGGAAAGCGGAGCGAACGGAGCGGAGAGACCGAAGAGAGTAGAGCAGAAAACACTTGCCCAATAGTTGGAAGATTCGAAAGTGATTGATTATCGGGGCTTACTACTTACTACATGATTTATAGGTGGTGTACATATAAATCATGTGAAGCGTCTCATCATCCTACGCGTCTAATCAACTATGGTAATTACCGTAAGAACTACGTCGTAAATACTAAGCTGAACAGGCGGTTCGGATTGGATCGGTCACGGTTACCAATACTGGTAGAAAACCGATGACCGTCAACAGACGCCACGATGTACTTCTTGATTCACGTTTCACAGTCGAACTTGGCGCCCAGACTGAAGCCCATCATGCATCCACTGCCTTCATCTTCTATCAGCAGCAATTACTTGGCTCCAACTAACGAGTCGGCTTCCATCGGGTCACACGTGTCGATGTGCAGAAGCTCAAACGGATCATAGTGACGCTTGTTCGGGATGCTTGGAAACGGCCGCTGCACCATTTCTTCTTCTTGAAAACCACGACGCACGCTTGATTCGCTTGATCTTGGTGGTATCTTGACATCCTTGATCATGTTCTTGGAAACCATCCTGTACAGGACCTCAGTTGGTGCGTGGCCTATACGCGTATGATGATCTTCGTCTCATGATCGCAATGTAGCATTCACTGATCTTTGCAGTGTACGAAGTCAGTCGATTCCGCCTACAAGTTCTGCCATTGCCATCACTTGCTCGGAGTCTTTGTGTAAAATCTTCATCTCGGCACCATGGAACATCACTTAAGCTTTGCAGCTCTTATTGATTTGCGGAATTGACAGCAGATGTATGCTCATTCTTGGGACGTAAAGCGCGTTCTTGATATTGTTGCAGTGTAGATCGGAGCGAGGAAAGCGGAGCGAACGGAGCGGAGAGACCGAAGAGAGTAGAGCAGAAAACACTTGCCCAATAGTTGGAAGATTCGAAAGTGATTGATTATCGGGGCTTACTACTTACTACATGATTTATATGTGGTGTACATATAAATCATGTGAAGCGTCTCATCATCCTACGCGTCTAATCAACTATGGTAATTACTGTAAGAACTACGTCGTAAATACTAAGCTGAACAGGCGGTTCGGATTGGATCGGTCACGGTTACCAATACTGGTAGAAAACCGATGACCGTCAACAGACGCCACGATGTACTTCTTGATTCACGTTTCACAGTCGAACTTGGCGCCCAGACTGAAGCCCATCATGCATTCACTGCCATCATCTTCTATCAGCAGCAATTACTTGGCTCCAACTAACGAGTCGGCTTCCATCGGGTCACACGTGTCGATGTGCAGAAGCTCAAACGGATCATAGTGACGCTTGTTCGGGATGCTTGGAAACGGCCGCTGCACCATTTCTTCTTCTTGAAAACCACGACGCACGCTTGATTCGCTTGATCTTGGTGGTATCTTGACATCCTTGATCATGTTCTTGGAAACCATCCTGTACAGGACCTCAGTTGGTGCGTGGCCTATACGCGTATGATGATCTTCGTCTCATGATCGCAATGTAGCATTCACTGATCTTTGCAGTGTACGAAGTCAGTCGATTCCGCCTACAAGTTCTGCCATTGCCATCACTTGCTCGGAGTCTTTGTGTAAAATCTTCATCTCGGCACCATGGAACATCACTTAAGCTTTGCAGCTCTTATTGATTTGCGGAATTGACAGCAGATGTATGCTCATTCTTGGGACGTAAAGCGCGTTCTTGATATTGTTGCAGTGTAGATCGGAGCGAGGAAAGCGGAGCGAACGGAGCGGAGAGACCGAAGAGAGTAGAGCAGAAAACACTTGCCCAATAGTTGGAAGATTCGAAAGTGATTGATTATCGGGGCTTACTACTTACTACATGATTTATAGGTGGTGTACATATAAATCATGTGAAGCGTCTCATCATCCTACGCGTCTAATCAACTATGGCAATTACCGTAAGAACTACGTCGTAAATACTAAGCTGAACAGGCGGTTCGGATTGGATCGGTCACGGTTACCAATACTGGTAGAAAACCGATGACCGTCAACACGCCCCCTCAATCCGAATGCTCACGAATCCCGAGAGCCGTCGTCATCTCCTTGTGGCGTGGTCCATGAAGTCCCTTCGTCATGATGTCCGCTAACATCACCGCAGTTTCACAGTACTTGAGCTTCACTTCACCGCGCTTGACCTCATCACGGATGTGATGGTACTTGATATCAATGTGCTTGGCACGGCCGTGGTTGACTGGGTTCTTCGTCATCTTGATACACGACTGATTGTCTTCATGAATCATGAGTCCCGGTCCTTCTTCATTGGCAGCCATCACGATCTCACAAAGCAGACGATGAAAATCCACTTGCCCTCTTGAATCGCCAAGCTGAGTGCGATGTATTCGGCTTCACTCGTGGACAACGAAACACTTAGCTGCTTCTTGCTGCCCCAACTGACTGGCGCACCGAGTAGCATGAACGTGTACCCCGATGTTGACTTGCGGTCGGTAAGATCACCAGCCCAATCCGCATCCGAATATCCACGGAAGTCGATCCTTGCACTTGGCTTGTAGCAAATTCCATGCGTCTTGGTGCCTTGTAGGTAGCGAAAGATACGCTTAACTGCAACCCAGTGTTCTTCTTGGGGATTTTCCATGAACCGCGACACATAGCCCACAGCAAACGCAATGTCCGGACGCGTTGCAGTGGTCAGGTGCATCAACGCACCAACAGCTTCGCGAAAGGAGCATCGACCTTGGTAGTTGCATCACTTGAAACAAGTCGAGAGCTCATGTCGACTGGACTTGCGACTGCCTTGCAATCATCCATGCCAAAGCGCTTGAGGATATCATCGATCTACCGACGCTGACATAGTGTCACACTGCCATCTTCACCGTCCAAAAGCTCAATTCCAAGAACAAATGCACACTTGCCGCTATCAGTCATCTCGAAGCGTGTCTTCAGGTCTTCCTTGGTGTGTGCAATCAACTTGGGTGAGCTTCCTGTCACCAACACGTCATCCACATAGACCAGTATAAACACGCAATGGCCGTCCGAAGTCTTGATGTAGAGACATGGGTCGAAGCCTGGCACTTGAAATCCAATGGAACACACACTCGTCAAAAGTCTCGTTCCATACTCGCAAAGCTTGCTTCAGGCCGTAAATTGCCTTCACCAATTCCAGGCAGTCGAACGTACTGTCAAGTTCGACGCCTTCATGAATCACGCAGAACACTTGTTCCTTCATGACGCCATACAGGAAAGCTGTCACCACATCAAGCTGGTCGATGGGCCATCCAAAATGCTTGGAAATTGCGATCACCATTCGCAGCGCCACATACTTGACCACAGGCGAAAACGTCTCCGTGTAGTCGATGCATACTTTTGGCGGAAACCCTTGGCCACAAGTCGTGCCTTGTACTTCTCGATTGACCCATCCGCCTTGCGCTTGATCTTGAACACCCATTTTGTGCCAATGGCGCGTTGTCCGTTGGGCAGCTTGGCTGCACGAAACACACCGCGAAGTCGCATTGACTCGAGCTCTGCATGAATTGCTTTTCTCCAGTGCACTTGGTCAGGGCCGCTTACTGCTGCTTCAAATGTTGAGGGTTCTGATAAGTCCACTGCTGCTTCAACGGCATTTGCACTCGCACGCCAAAACACAGGCGGTGTTGAATCACCAGAATCCTTCGTTTCTTCGTCTTCTTCTTGGCGTGACGAGTTGTTTTCCGGCGCGCTTGACTCTTCTAGTCCTGGTCGTTGACGCACTGCACGCGGTCGTGGAGCTGCTGTATCTTCATCATTGAGTCGGTTCTTGCGCTTGCCTGTTTGCTTGTACTCCATTTGACGCAGCTCTTCGTCATCAAGATCCAGCAATTCGAAGTCCAGGTCATCGACATCTTCATCAGTGATCGGCAGTTGAAGTCCAAAGGTGGACTCGTCGAAGTTGACATCGCGGCTGATAACCACCTGCCCCGCCTCGATGTCATAAACACGATATGCCTTCGAAACTTCTTCGTAGAACAGTTGAAGCGAGTTGGTTGCAAACTCGCGAGCTCCGTCGTGTCGCACGAACTTGACCTTCTTACAGAATTGCGTCTGTACCATGGTGATATATTTCCGGATGTAGTCTTCACTCTCGGACTTCACTCGTAGACAAAAGCCCTTCATGCATCCACTGGCTTCGTCGATGATCAGCAGCAAATATTTGCTGCCACCGAGCGAATCCTTTTCCATGGGCCCGCAGATGTCCAGATGAAGTAGCTCAAACGTATCGTAGCTGCGCTTGTCTCGGTTGCTTGGAAATGGTTTTTGGACCATTTTCCCTTGTTGACATCCTCGACATGTAGTTGCTCCACCCGACTTGAGAGGGACTCGCACATCCTTGATCATGTTGGTCGTGATCATCTTGCGAAGTACATCGACTGGAGCATGACCCATTCTCGCATGTAGATCGGCACCACTGGTTCCACTTGTTGTCAAATTCGCTGATCGTTGAGTCGTCCGAAGCCAGTAGAGTCCATCCACGAGATCCGCTGTCGCCACCACTTGCTGTGAGTTCTTGAGAGTCACATACATCTTGGACCCGTCAAACACGACTTGAAACTTGCCATGGCTGTTAATCTGTGGCACCGAGAGCAGGTTCTTGCTCATACTTGGAACATATAGCGCGTTCTTGATTTCGATCTCACGCTCTTCACCGTTGGGCAGAACCACCTTTTCCATGATGGTTCCCACACCCTTGATGGCCACCTTGTTGCCATCAGCCACCAAGAGTTCGCCCTCATTGCGCTCTGCCAAATTTGCGAACTTGGTCTTGTCGTGGCAAATGTGGTGCGTTGCACCACTGTCGACGGCCCACATTCCAGACACGTCCTTGCTCGTCGAAACTCCACATTCGAACGAGACTGCAAACGCCACTCGATCGTAGCCATTGTCTTCATCATGATGTCCCCACTGGACATTGTTAGCCCCGCGTCCACGACCATTGCCGCCGCGTCGGGCTCCCCGACCTTCGTTCTTCTGCTTTGTCCAGCAACGATCCACCGTGTGTCCCACCTTGCCACAATACGTGCATTGGTAGGGCTCACGCTCGGCGCTGAATGCCTTGCTTGCATCTTCAGCCTTCACCGTAGTCGCTGTCGTTGTCCCTTTTTCTCCTTGACGCTTGGCATGCTCATTCGTCAGGACTCTCACCACATCTTGAGTGCGAAGCTCGGTGCTGCTCATTTCCATGTTGAGCACCACATTTTCGTAGCTCTTCGGAAGACTGAGTAGCAGACAAATTGCAACGTCTTCGTCTTCCATCTTCGCACCGATGCCGCTAAGCTTGGCGGAGATGTTGAGGACCTCGTTGCAGTGATGCATGACGTTCGCGCCTTCAGCCATCTTGATACTGAAAAGTTGCCGCTTGAGGTAGATGCGTCCTGCCTTCTGCGACCCACCGTACAGCGTCTTCAGACTTGTCCACGCAACCCAGGCTTCCTCGCAGTTGTCCAGCACATGATGGTAGTCCGCGTTCATGTGCAGCAGCATCATACCAAACGCGATGTTGCTTGCCTTGACGTAGTCATCGGACGCTCGCGGGTCGGTGAAAGTCGGAGTCACTTCACGGTTGACGACGTGCCAGACGGACTTCGTCAAAAACACACCGCGCATGTACCGGCTCCACGTTGCATAATTGTCTCCGTTGAACTTGTCAATGGAGGCGTTGCTGGTGGACGACATGGCGCTTGGGCTCATAACCTGTTGCATTGTAGATCGGAGCGAGGAAAGCGGAGCGAACGGAGCGGAGAGACCGAAGGGAGTAGAGCAGAAAACACTTGCCCGAAGGTTGGAAGATTCGAAAGTGATTGATTATCAGGGCTTACTACTTACTACATGATTTTTTAGTGGTGTACATCTAAATCATGTGGAGCGTCTCATCATCCTACGCGTCTAATCAACTATGGTAATTACCGTAAGAACGACGTCGTAAATAATAAGCTGAACAGGCGGTTCGGATTGGATCGGTCACGGTTACCAATACTGGTAGAAAACCGATGACCGTCAACAGTAGTTGGGGAAGACTTCGATCGCTTTTCTTTGGGGTCGACACGAATGTTCGGTATTCAAAAACTCGCATCTGCTTCACACTTGGCCGCAACCTTTGATGATCTCGAACGGAGTTCAGTCTTGGTACTTCGGTGAAGGCAGGCGATTCTTGACGTAGATCGCCGTCATTACTGCCTCGGCCCAAAAACACTCGTCCAGTTTTGCGTAGTGAAGCAAGCTGAGGACGATTGTCCCGATGATCCGAATCCCTTGTTTTGCTTTGCCATTAGTCTAGTGCGCATATGGAACGGTGACCTGCTGCTCGATTCCTTGACCATCGTAGAATGCCTTGAGCGAAGTCGACGCACACTCACGTGCACCATTGTGCCGAACATATTTAACCGTGCAGTCAAACTGCATCTGGATGCCACGATGTACTTCTTGATGCACGTTTCACTGTCGAACTTGGCGCCCAGACTGAAGCCCATCATGCATCCACTGCCTTCATCTTCTATCAGCAGCAATTACTTGGCTCCAACTAACGAGTCGGCTTCCATCGGGTTACACGTGTCGATGTGCAGAAGCTCAATCGGATCATAGTGACGCTTGTTCGGGTCACTTGGAAACGGTTGCTGCACCATTTCTTCTTCTTGAAAACCACGACGCACGCTTGATTCGCTTGATCTTGGTGGTATCTTGACATCCTTGATCATGTTCTTGGAAACCATCCTGTACAGGACCTCAGTTGGTGCGTGGCCTATACGCGCATGATGATCTTCGTCTCATGATCGCAATGTAGCATTCACGGATCTTTGCAGTGTACGAAGCCAGTCAATTCCGTCTACAAGTTCTGCCATTGCCATCAGTTGCTCGGAGTCTTTGTGTAAAATCTTCATCTCGGCACCATGGAACATCACTTAAGCTTTGCAGCTCTTATTGATTTGCGGAATTGACAGCAGATGTATGCTCATTCTTGGGACGTAAAGCGCGTTCTTGATATCGCGCTCTTCACCGTTTTGCGGGACCTTTCCTTGTTCCCATCTGCGACCAACGCTTCGCCTTCATTACGCTCGCCCGGGCATTTGAACTTGTTCTTGTCATGGCAGATGTGTTGCGTCTCACCGCTGCTATTCGCACACATCTCAGGCGTATTCTTGATCGCTGAAATTACGCATTCCAGTGAAACAGCAAACACTACTCGATCGTAGTCGCAGTTGCTGTTGTATCCTTGCCACTGGACTTGATTCGATCCGCGTCCAGGAGCATTGCTACCGCGTCGAGCTCCCCGATTTTATTCCTTCTGCTTGGTCCAGCAACGTTCCACTTCTCCCCAATTTACGCAGAACGAGCATCGACGAACCTCGCGCTCGGTACTGAAGGCCTTGGTCACTTCTTCAGTCTTCACCGCCGCAGACTTGGCACCTTGACGCTTGATGTGATCGTTCGTCAAAACGTTGACAGCGTCGCACGGTTGCAGTTTGCGCTGCTCATCTACAAGTTGAGAACGACGTTCTCGTAGCTCTTGAGGAGACTGCTTCACAAGAAGATCGCTACGTCCTCGTCCTCCATCTTGGCGCCGATGCTGCTGAGCTTCGCTCTGATGTTGAGGACTTCATTAAAATGATGCATGACGTTGCCGCTTCCCGCTATCTCCATGCTGAAAAGCTGTCGCTTCAAGAAAGCTAACGAAGTCTACACCACAAAGTGAAGACCACAAAGTGAAGACTCTGCCTACGCTTGGCTGCATCCAATCCCATGGTGCATTTAATCAATCTGATTTACACGCGTCCAATCATCCTACGCGTCTAACCAATTCTGAAGTAATCACCGACATAAAAACTATTCCGTATGCACTACGCTCGAAGATCGGATTGTACCAGTAACCTTCAATGCGCACCCTCAATGCGCACCCTCAATGCAAATATGTGTGAATGCCGAGAGCCGCCGTCATGTCTTTGTGCCGTGGTCCTAGTAGCCCCTTCGTCATGATGTCCGCCAATATATTCGTCGTCTCACAAGATTCCAGCTTGACTTTCTCGCACTTAACCTCATTAAGGATGTAATGGTACTTGATTTTGATGCTCTTGGCTTTACCATGGATCACCGAGTCCTTCGTCATCTTGATGCAGGACTGGTTGTCTTCCGTAACCTTGAGCTCGGACTTGTCCGCTGCGGTAGCCAGAAAATTATCGCGCAGCAAGCGATGCACCCGCTTGCCTTCTTGAATGGACAGACTTAGAGCGATATACTCGGCTTCACTTGTTGACAATTACACACTTGGTTGCTTCTTGCTACCCCAGCTCACCGGAGCACATAGAATCATGAGTGCGTCTCTCTAAGTAGACTTGCGATTCACATGGTTGCCGGCCCAGTCTGCATCCGAGTAGCCGTAGAAATCCACCTTGCCGCCGAGTTTGGAGCATATGCCGTGCAATTTGGATCCATGCAAGCATTGCACAATACGCTTGACCGCCATCTAGTGCTCGACTTGCGGTTTCTCCATGAAGCGCGAAACATAGCTCACAGTTAAGGCAATGCCCGGTCGTGTCGCGGTCGTCAAGTGCATTAAGGCACCCACTGCTTGATGAAACAGAGCGTCGATATTGGTCGCTGCGTTACTTGGTGGAGTCGAGGGGTGATGTCCGTTAGGCTGATGACAGCTTTGCAATCGCTCATGCCGAACCGCTTCAGAACACCGTCTACGTAGCGTCGTTGGCACATCGTCACGCTGCCTTCATCCTTTACCATCTCTATACCCAACACAAAAGAACACTTGCCTCTGTCAGTCATCTCGAAATGCGACTTCAAGTCGTACGCGCAATCATTTCAGTCGAGCTGCCAGTCACCAACACATCATCGACGTAGACCAGCAAAACACGCACTGTCCGCTTGCGACCTTGAAATCGATGCATGGGTAAAAGTTGGACGCTTGAAATCTGATAGAGCAGACGAGCTCATGGAAAGTTTCTTTCCACACCCGTGAAGCTTGTTCAGTCTGTAGATTGCTTTCACCATCTCGAAGCAGTCAAAGTCTTCAGTGACTTCTACACCCTCTTGGACCGCGCAAAACACTGGTCCCTTTATTTCACCATGCAGATAAGCTGTCACCACATCTAGTTGTTCCATCGTCCAGTAAAAGTACTCGTGATCACGATCACCATGCCAAGTGTCACATACTTGACGCCTGGTGAGAACGTCTCCGTGAAGTCAATGTCATTTCTTGTCTTGAACCCTTTTGCCACGAGACGGGCCTTGCACTTTTCGATCGATTTATTAGCCTCGCGCTTGATCTTAAACACCCACTTGGTACCAATGGTGTGCTGTCCATCTGGCAGCTTGGTCCCTCGGAACACGCCACGTAGCTTCATTGAGTCCAACTCGGCGCAAGCGCATTGCGACAATGAACTCGATCCGGACCACTACCCGCGTGTTGAAACGCTGTCAGCTCCGACAAGTCAGTACCTTTGGCTGCATTGGCACTTGCTTGCCAGAAGACTAGAGGAGACTCATCATCGTCATCTTCATCACCGCCTTTTCGCTCTTCGTCTAGATTGGCGCGATTTCTTTAGCGCCGTTTCGCTTGACGCGACTCAAAAACGATCTGGTGCACTTGCTTCTTTCAACCCGGCTCCACTGCGATTAGGAAGTGTCCGTTGATAAACTTTTTCATGGCAGTTTTGTTGATTGGTGAAAAGCTTGACGACCGAAACTGGGAGTGATGCTGGGAGTCCACTCGGAAGACCGGAGAAGACACTTGGGGGGTAGATGGAAGATTGGAAAGTGATTGATTATCGGGGCTTACTACTTACTACATGATTTATATGTGGTGCACATATAAATCATGTGAAGCGTCTCATCATCCTACGCGTCTAATGAACTATGGTAATTACCGTAAGAACTACGTCGTAAATACCAAGCTGAACAGGCGGTTCGGATTGGACCGGTCACGGTTACCAATACTGGTAGAAACCGATGACCGTCAACACGCCCCCTCAATCCGAACTCGCACGAATGCCGAGAGCCGTCGTCAAGTCCTTGTGACGAGGTCCCGAAAGTCCCTTGGTCATGATGTCCGCCATCATCACGGAAGTCTCGCAATACTCGAGCTGCACTTCACCACGCTTGACCTCATCACGGATGTGATGGTACTTGATGTCGATATGCTTGGCTCGACCATGGTTCACCGGGTTCTTCGTCATCTTGATACACGACTGGTTGTCCTCACGGATGACGAGGTCCGGTCCTGGTTCGTTTGCGGCCGCCAAAATCTCGCATAGCAGGCGATGCAGCCACTTGCCTTCCTGTATGGCCAGACTTAGTGCGATGTATTCCGCTTCACTTGTCGACAGTGACACGCTTGACTGCTTCTTGCTTCCTCAACTCACAGGAGCACCCATCAGCATGAAAGTGTAACCCGAAGTCGACTTGCGATCAGCGTGGTCGCCGGCCCAGTCCGCGTCCGAGTAGCCACGAAAGTCGATCTTGTCGCTTGGCTGGAAGCGGAGTCCGTGCGACTTGGTCCCTTGTGTGGTGAAGTCGATCTCACAAAATTGCTTGTATGAGTGTCGATCTTCCACTTGCCCAGACTTGCCGACTCACGGAGGGGGTACTCCGATCCGTGCCTTGTTGTATGACCTTGTGCTCACCTTGTGTACCCGTCGGTTGGGCTGGCTTGAGCTCTTCGTAACGGCCTTGGGAGATGTCGATCTCGCTGAGAGGTTGGGTTGAGGGTTCGCTTCTGGTGCGGAAATCTTCACACCACGAACGGGGGTTCTGCGATCCCGATCTTGGATTGCACCGATCTTGATTTGTCCTCGAGATCGGGGTCTTTGCTGTGCGGAAATCTTCACTCAGCAAATAAAAGTCCTGCGTCGATCTTGCCTTGGGATCGGTCCGATCTGGTCTTGGGATCGGCCGATCTTGCCGGAAGTGCGCAATTTGGGTAGATCGGTGTCTTGTTTCGCCAAAATGAAACGTGCCGATCTGTCCAGGGGATCGCTTCGATCCTGCTCGGTCTTGTCTTGAACGCCTTGTCCAGATCTTCTGACCACTTGAGCCGTCTCGCGATCCTGTGTCCAAAATCCTTTTCCTGTTCCGTTGTGTGCTGCTACCCTAGCAGTTGAGTTGATTGTGAGTACTTGATCGATCCGGGCCAGATATCCCGGGATCGCTCTTCTCGATCTTGGCCAACAATCCAAGATCGGTCTTCTGTGTCCTTGTAACACGCGTGCCTTAACCCGCCGGGGAAGCCAAATCAATCTTGCCTGGAGAAGAGGGGAGGATAACGTGCGTCGTGAGCAGAAGAAGTAGAGTTCAAGTCTGTTTATTAACCAACCAAATTACTATCCAACCTACCCTTAAGCCTATTTTTAACTGTAGGTCACTCTTCAAACCGATATCGCCTTGAATCTGGATCGCCCCCTTGCCACGTGTCGAAATTTCGTGCCCTGTACTCCAATGATAGCGCCAATATTCCCGATACCGTACCTGAACGCCAAAAGAGGACCAAATCCCAAATGGGGTACCAAATACCCATTTTTGGTACCCAAAAACCCAAAATAGTGCCCAAATGCCGAAGGCGTCTAAATCCATTTTGCGACGTCAATTCGGACAGCTTCCACTGGCTCTTTCGGCATGAAACTTCTTGACATCACTTAGTGACCTCTACCAAGTATATTCCACATGATCCAGTGTCTTCATCAACCATATATTCATGATCAGTGTGGAACATGACCGATCTGTCATCCAATATCGAGATGTTGGAGGTCGATCCGGTCTAAATCGGCAATTAACACTTTTTTATCTCCTCATACGTGCTTCAATATCATCCTCCAGTGTTATCCAATCGACAACTTCATTCATACGTCTCGACATCGGTTTCCTTGACTCCCCTGAGTATGCAAAACTTCCAGATCGGCGTATAATTAACCGAAATCAGTACTCCCAATTTAGGATCGGTAAAGAGTATCACCGATCCGTATGGTGTTGCACATTCTTTGCCGATTCACCGACCTGTACCACCTGGTCCCAGATGCTTTTTGGGGAGTCACCTTGTCCCAGATATGTCAATTCTCCAACAAACCGTTGCCACAACATGCCGATCTGCAATCTGATCTTAGCCTGCTTCAATGTACGTATACTTCTTCTTGACCGGCATTCCAATGAGCTGTATGACTTCATCCCGACGTCTGGTTCCAAATCGCCCCATAACATTCTGCAAGGTGTTACACCTTCGTCGCAGAGTCATATCCCATCACCCGGTCCCAGATCCTTGTCCCAGATTGTTCCATGTAAATCGTTCCAGATCGCTCCGTCCCAGGTCGATTCACACCCATTAGTCTAACGACAGTTGGACCGGTTCGCCGATCCCGTTAAGATCATCTTCCACCTCCGTATTGGATCGCCGAGTCTCATGGCCTCCTTTTCCACCAGTAAGCGGCGCTTTAAAGGTGTGGCCACCGATCCTCGTACAAAATTTGAGTAGTGACTTTGCCACAACCGCCCCCTGTACTGAAGTCTTTTGTACAGCAATTGACCTCAGTACAGTCACTCATCAACTTCGTTTCAAGCACTCAAGTCCGTCTCATGGCCTCTCCGACGCATCCACCCACCTCGCTGATCTCATCAGAAGGACCCACCATGTTTCTGTCTCCGGATCGCGACCTGTCGCCCGGATCGCCCGATCTCGGAGGACACACCCCAGCGGTCCCCGATCGGCCTGGGTCTCCGCGCCACCTAGGCCCAACCGGATCGCCCACAATCCCCACAGGATCGCCAGATCGACAGCCGACCAGACTCTCGTCTCCATACCGAGACTCGCCATCTAGATCGCCAGATCGCGGGTGGTATGCTCCTATCGTCCCAGAGCAACATATGTCTCTCAGTAATCCCAGATCGGTCGGATCACTCTCGACCGCCGCGGAATTATCAGATCGTTCCTCCGAGCCATTCCCGCTTCCCACTCCTCCGGCGGCCCCAGATGCGTCCAGATTCGACATCCCGGCCGCTAATGAATCTCGTGAAAGGTCTGCTCCAGCTGTGGGCGTCACCGACTTCGTTCCCAGAGTCTCTGCCGACGACGTTCGTCTCACGATGGCCACGATCTCGTATTTGTGGGATCGAGAGGCTACCTTCTGCAGCCAAGCCGACACCATTCATGCGCTCCAGCAATCCTACCGAGATGTCGTCGTCCGGGGGAATCGCTTACAAGACGAGCTTGATTCGCTATACAGATCAGCCGCTCCTTTTGTCTCCTTCGTCCAGCTTCGATATGACTGGATGCAGGGCCGCTACGTCGACGCAGTGCATTCTTTGAGTGATTGCCATCGAGCTCTGCGGACATATCGAGATCAATCGGAGGAGATTCGTCGGCTACGCACTTTGATATGTGCCAACGACAAGCTCTGTGGGAATCTACTCATGCTTTCCCGATTCCTCCGGCTCAAAGGCGATCTGAACGGTTCATGCAGACATTCTGGCGCCAACGAAAACAACGCCGTTCTCGCTTTGGAGCGCGTTGAAAGACCTTCTTGAAGATGATACTCAGCGGCATGATCGCTGGCCACTGTGATCTCGACATCTTGCTAGATCCCTTCTTCCTCCACTATCCGCGCCCACATGAAGACCGAGTTTGGTATCCAGGGTTAGGACACTCTAACGACCCAGCTGACTTGCTAGAGGCGTTGGACATGGCAGACCAAGAGGATGCTTGGCGCAACCAATTCCGTAACGCCTATTGGGATCATCCCGGATCGCAGATCCTTCGTCTGCAGGACAAGTTCAAACCTGCTCCATCGTCTTAGTCCAAGATCGATATCCGAGCCCGATCGTCTTTCATAATCGTGTAAGTCATTCAATCATCGTCTTTTTGGTACTTCCATTCTTTGCAACTTCCACGATCTCGATCCTCCTCGCTCCACATCATTCAGGAAGGTAATTCACTTGACTATCTCCATACTCACATACAAAAACCTCATCCACCAGCATGTGCTACCGTCTAGCACATCTTTCAACCCCTACATCCGCATATGCTACCTCCCGCATACTTGTTCGAACTGTTAAGGTTCGTCCGACTTGCCTTCATGAGACTGCATTACGTCGAAACGGTTTCGACTCACTCGGTTCCGCTCAAACTCTTGCAAGATCGCCCCACAACGTAGATCGGCCTCGTCCACCCAACTTAGATCGGGATATCCCTTCCACTTCACCAGAAACTGCCGGGGTACTCGCCCATAACGGGTTTTTCTACCAGATCGCACGTCCAATATTACCTCCACTTCGTATTCCCCTTCTTGAAGATCGCCATCCCAACTGTCTTCCGGCAGCAGAGCCTCATCGAAATCCAAGCGATCTGATTCCTCTATCGTAAGCTGATCCTTCGGGCGTTCAGGGAACGTCTTTACCTTTTTTAGCTTCGATATGTGTACAATCGGAAATAACCGATATGGGGTTCCAGCGATCTCCAATTTTACAGCATGATCTCCACATACGTCCGCAACTCGGAATGGCCCATGCCACATGTGCGCTAGCTTCTTCGCATATCCCTCTTTAACTCGGTCCAGGTATAGCCAAACTTGCGCTCCTACTTCGATCTCGTGTGGTTCCAGATCTTCGTTGTGTCGATCCGCTCGCTCCTGGATCGCGGCTTGTAAACGATCGTTCACTGCAGATCGGGCTCGCAGGTATTGTCTTTGGATTTTGTATCTCCACCTCTTTGGATCTCGATCTCGTGTCCCCGTATTCCCCACTGGTAGCGTAGCCTCCAAAGTCGATCGCGGGTCCCACCCATGAATCAGATAAAATGGGGTATCCCCCCGGATCCGATCTTGTGCAGTGTTAATGGCAAAGGTGAGCCGCTCAGCATACTCATCCCAGTCTCGCTGGTCAACTTCAGCCACGTACATCTTGAGCGAATGTGTCAGGGTTTGCACCATTCGTTCGGCTGTTCCATTTGCTTGTGGCCTGTAAGCCATAGTAGCACGCTGTTTTTGTCCTACGATGCGACTGAAGGCTCGAAAGAAGTCGGACATAAATCCCGGTTCTCGATCGTGCCTGATAGCCTCGCTAGCTCCGAAGCGTCGAAACACACATTCTTCATAATTCTCCGCTATTGTTTGTGCCGTCCGAGAGGAGCTAGCCTTTGCAATCACATATCCCGAGAAAAGGTCGACCCAAATGAGCAGTTCGGTGTTCCCCTTGATGGACTTGGGCAACGACGGTATATGATCCATGGCGATGATCTGGAATGGATAGGTTGCGTGTAGATTGCCCGGGGATTCCCCATGAATCATCGGGTTTCCTTTCCCGGTCTCACAGTCGGTACATTCGCCCACATATCGTTGAACGCTCCGATACAGTCCTCTCCAATGAAATCGCGATCTGATCCTCTGATAGGTTCGGCCAATACCCTGATGGCCTCCTTCCAGACTCGTGTGATAATGATGCAAAAATCTTGCTGCAACGTCTCAGGGATCACCAACCGCATCAAACCATCGCGATCTTCCGACTCTCTTTTCGCCATGGGGCAAAAAAATAGCAGATTGTTCTCATCGATCTCGTAATCCGGCGCCAGTTTGGCGCACGTCTTCACTTCTACCGCATCCAAGTTTGATACATCGCCACTTAGATATGTCTTGAGATTGACAATCCAACGCTCTTCATCTTGAGCTTGGACAATTCGTTGAATCCTGATCCTCTGTACTATCTCCTCCTGTATCACTTCAGGTTCATGACGTATCCTCCTGGCTGATCTCGCGATCGCAGTTACCCGAGCTAGCTGACCATCTTGCTTGGGCTTCAACAATTCATCGAGACGGTTCAGAGTCATCAGATCTTGCCGATCCTCTTCAGCTACAACCGTTCTTCCCTTTTCGCTCTGCAATGCTGTGCTGGCTAGTCGATCTGCGCTCTGATTCCACTCTCGCTTCATATGCAGAAACTCGTGACTAGGCCATGACTGCAGCTTCTCCAACGCTTTGTGTCTCAGAAGCTGAAGGCCCGGTGCCTTGCAGTCGATCTCACCGCGCATCTGTCGAATCACCAGACTGGAATCTCCACACAGTATTACTCGCCCCCTATCCAGACCGGCGAGTAACTCAAAGCACAGTAGCAAGCCATTATACTCAGCTTCATTCACAGTCAGATCGTGAACATATCTCGATTCGGCCGCCACGATCGTCCATTCGGGTAACTTCCATATCACGGCACTGAACGACCCTCCTTTCTTTTTTTTATCCTAGCCGATCCATCGAAACTGGCTACCAGCAACTCCTCATCTGTTTCCACCGTTGGAGGAGGCATCGATATTTTGAGTCGACAGTCTTTTCGTGGGGAGATCGCAATCAGCATCTCTTCCACCTCTCCTCTCGGAGTGATACTCGCTGCTAACATGCCCAGGATTTCTTCCTCTCCTCTTTCACATTTCTTCACCTCCATAGTCCAATTTGACAACAAAGCAGCCCACCGTCCTAATCTCCCGTTGAGCCCTCGAGACTGCATCAACCAGGCTAACGTAGAATGTCGGGTCAGTACAGTGATCTCCCGCGAGGCAAGCGTAGTATAGCATACATCCAACACACGAAGTAGCGCCAGCACTTCTTTTCTACCATTCCGTAGTTAAGCTCATTAGGCTTTAAAGTGCGGCTAGTAAACGTCACCGGATGGTACACGCCATCGTACTCCTGTATCAGGGCCGCTGAGACAGCCCACTTGCTAGCGTAGACCACGATTACGGGGGACCGATCTGGGTCGAAATGCTTGAGCATGGGAGCTGTAGCTATCTTAGCTTTTAGCATAGTGAAAGCAACCTTGGCTTCCGTCCATCGACCCTCGTTGGAGCATTCGTCTCCTGCTGCAAGCTGAGATCGGCCGATCTCGAAGAAATCCGATTCTCTTAACTCATACAACACCGCGGCATACACCGCGAAATCCTCAATGAAGCGACGGTAGTAGTTCAAGCTCCCGAGAAAGGATTGCATAGCTCGTAGCGTGCTAGGAAACGGGATGTTAACCAACGACTCTAGGTTCTTGGGCTGAGCCTCCAGACCATCCATCGACACTCGATGTCCCAAATAATCGACCTTACGGCACCCCCAAAAACTCTTCGTGAGGCTGATAGACAGATTCCACTTATCACATGCCTCCAGCAACCGTTCTACTTTTGTGTACAAAGATCCCCATGACGCGGCTGGTATGAGAATATCGTCAATGTAAGATCGGCGTCCCAGTATAGACGGTCGTCGATCTGTCTCAGGTTCTCCATCTTTGAACACGTCGATCGGGCCATCAGAAGCTGATCTCTGGCCGATCTTGAGATATCCATACAACGCATTGTCCACCAGACGTTGGTAGATCTGGGGCGCGTTCTTAAGCCCAAAAGGCATTCGCAGCCACTCGAACAAGCCAAACGGTGTGACAAACGCTGAGATCAGTTTTGCTCGTTCGGTCATTTCGACGACCCAAAATCCACTAGCCATGTCTAGCGAACAGTACCATAGAGCTTTATCCAGATCTTCCAACAGATCGCTGATCAACGGCATGGGATAAACCATCAGACGCGTCAGCTGGTTAACTCTTCGATAATCAATGCAAAGGCGAATATCCACTCCGTTCTTCTTGATGATCACCACTATCGGAGACGCCCAAGGTGACGTGGATGGCTGAACGATTTTGGCTGCTAATAGTCCTTTGATGAGATCTGACAGCTTCTCCCGATATTTGGGTGCGACCGGACGCACTCTTTGCGCTATCGGTGCTGCCCCACCGACATCAATATCACAGATCGCGCCTCGTGCTGCGGGTGGTAGAGCATTACCTTTACCCATGAGGAGGTGACGGCTCTTCCAGATCAGCGATCTGAGCCGTTGTTGATCTGTGGTGAGAGGCACATCGGGATCACCGATCTGAATGTCCTCAATCGTAACTTCTTCCGTAGTCGCCGACATCTCTGGTAGCACGGCCATATGCTGCTCGATATCTTCCGCAAACAAATCTCCGCTCTCGTGGTGATAAACTGGTATTTCTGCAATCTCGACGTCTTCAGTATTTAGCATTATTTCTTCTTTAGGCTCCTTCGTCTCTTCCGGCTGGCCCAATTTCAACAGTCGGTCAGTCGGCTCAGCCTTCGGTAGAGACGATCTGTCACGTAGCCCTTCTTGACCGGTGTCGCGGTCTCCCTTCGTTGCATGTTGGGTACCGATCTCATGACCGTTCTCCATCCGCGATAGTTCGGCTCCCCTGACCGTTACTTCCTCGCAACTACAGCATCTGCCTTTTGCGAATCGTCATCGTTAGCTTGCGACGTTACCGTGGAGATCGCCGGAGACAGGTTCTGTAACGCATCAGACGGACGTTTCAAGATGCGTTTGGGAGCGGCATACGTAGGACGATCTACCAATGGTCCGATCGGTTCTTTCGGGAGTTCGTTCACTCGATCCGTTGTAGCCTCATATGCCAGAGTTTGCCATTCCTTGTACTTCCCCGACCCGACTGTCACCAAACCTTGGGTCCGCGGTACCATATCGCCTTCGACCCACATGCCTAATATAGTGTGGGTGGGCAGTATGATCTCCCGGTCGCCAATGTTGGTCATCTGCAGGTATTTCGTCTTACCCCACCCCGAGATCACAGTGGGGACCCAATCTAGTCCTCTAGCGACCCACAACTTCATCTTAGCCCCTCCGATCCCGATCTTCACTTCCCTTGACTCTCCGACCGGGATCACCACGTGTTGGTCCTTCGCCGTTATATGTTGTATCTTCGATCCGTACGCGGGGCGACGTCCTGCGAGATGAATGCGGATTTCTTCTGGTAGACATAGCGCGCCATCCGCTAGATCGAGCCGCACTCCAGCAGGCACCATAAAATCCATACCCAGAATCGCTTCTTGCCCTGCCAGATCGCCTACCCATACATTGAAATAGTATACCAGCGATCCCGCGAGGGTCACCTTGATCTTGGTACGTCCTACCGTCATGTACGGAGTTTCTCCAATCCCGATACATTCTTGTCGTTGACTTTCGTCAATATTGCAACCGACCTCACGAGCAAAGGTGGTGTCAATGATCGACACTTCAGCACCAGAATCAAATAACAGAGTAGCTTTTACGTTGTTGATCTTGCCAACGGCTTTCGCTTGTTTGAACCACTTCCCGGGTGAATAATGTTTCCAGTATCCGCGAGATTCACCATAAGCGAGCTCGATCTCCATAGCTGGTTCAGATCGTGAGTACTCATCGATCCGCTTCAGATGGGACACGGAAGCGACACGTTTTAACTTCGAACGAGATATATTTGTTTCCACGTCAATATCCTGCTTACTCTCGCGATCTGTCTTCTTTTTTTCCACGTATGCAATAATGCAGAGCCCAGAACGCTCGGCTCGTACCAGATTCAAACCTGGCGAGCGTCCTAGTTTAACATCTTCTCGGCCTTCTCTGGTAGCATCCCCGCATGCTTATTCGGGACGTACCACTGACGGATCATGTTGTAGAACTCCTCCATGGGACACTTCCCCGGGTCGTGCATCTCACCGCAAGCACGACACACGAAAAACAATTGTCAGAGGGGTGTCCTTTACGCCCACACTTCTGGCAAGTGAGCCGCTTCCAGCAACCGAGATCTCCATGCTTGGTCGATCCGCAATGAGTACACGGCTTCAATGGCATATTGCGGTCTTGATAGTCTTGACGAGTGTTCGGGTCGACCGATCTCGCGTTTGCGGCAACGTCATTGGGGGATGAGCGGCGATCCGCAGTAGCAGCCACATGGATCGACCTCAATCGATCTTCCAAATCCGATCCGCAGGTGTCCGATCCTGACTCGCTGCAGACGTCCTCGGTACGGACCATCCTTACCGCTCGTGCAGGCTTAGACAGCGCTGGACCCTGAGTTCCCTTCTGCCTGAATTTGGACGATCCCATCATCACTTTCCCTTGACGCGATCTCCCTTGTTGATATCCGTGCAGTGTCTTTTGCATGGCCTCCGCGTCTTCTACATTCAGCAGTAGCAATTGATTGGACAGATCGGGGTCGTCCAAGGTGTCAATGAAATGATTGACATGTTCCTTGCGCGCAGCTGGCAATCCAGTCATCACCGGTATCTTCGCCTGCATTCCCATCACATTAAGCCGATACAGGTACTGTAAAGGATCTTCCTCCGATCGTTTCTTTGCATGGTAGTATTGCCTGCTCGCGGACATCCCGTGTCCCGCATACTCCACAAGAAAACTGTTCATCAATTCTTTCCAATTGAATCTCGTCGATCTACTCAGCTGTCGGTACCAGTAGCGGGCTGGGCCCACCATGAGATCACCGAAGACCAGACATCTCTCCTCGTCCGGTGCTTGGTCCCGGATAAACGCTGATTTCACTTTGCCGATCCAGGTCCGTGCTTTGTCTTCTTCCCGATCCTTCCCTGAGAATTCTTTCAGCTCAGAAATCGCTGAGATTCTGATCCTCTGCGTGATGTTTCCCCTCCGGTAGTCGCACCGGTCGCGGCTACTTGAGGGCGCCGTGGTTCGGGCATCCATAGATCATCCGGGTCGTATTCCGCCGCCTCATGGATATGTTGGTAAATGTCCGACCCCACCGACTCCATCTCCACATCCGGCATGTCAAGGCTTTCGTGTGAAGGTTGGAGCAAAGTACGTCGATCTGGGTAGCGGTTTGGCTGTCGATTCATTCGCTGAGCTGTACGTTGCTCCGCCTCGTACTTCTTCATGGCTGAATTGAAGTACCGACTTAGATCGCCCTCTTCTTGATCCTCCAGCCCAGTGCGGGTACTGGCCGATCTCTGCGGCATGTTGCTCTTGGCTTGTCCCTTATAGGCGTCGATCTTGGCTTGTCCGATCTTGTCCTTTAAGAACCTTCCACCCGATGGTCCTAGAGACATCTGACGAATGCTGATGGATCCATCTGACTCGCTCTCGGAGTCATCCGAGGCGTAGCGGGGGCGATCCCGCGGGGTGTTTACAGAGCGAGCCCGAGGGCGTCCCGATCTTGTCTTCAGGAGTATTCGCTTTGCCCACCAGCATTATCATGATCTCTACAAACTCGTTCGCCGCGTCCTTCAACTGTTCCAAGCTGCAACTCAGCAGTTCATCTCCATCAAAAGCGTCAGGGCAGATACCCATGTCGTCCAACATCTGCAAAATCACATTGATCTCGTCGACTTTGTTGGTCCCGTGAAGTGGGACCGAGATCGGCTTATCCAGAGGACCAATCACCTTGGGCCTTAATATCTTGAACACTGGGTCCGTCTTGAGCAGCGTCTTCAACTGGCCATAATAGTACTGCCATTTTGCACGCTCCCGCGCTTCACCCGTCGTCTCCTTCTCCATGGACGCGATCTTTATTGGGTTATATTCCGTCTTTGGCATCGCGATCTTATCTGGTGTTTCATCGTATTCCTCTTTGGCTCCGATCTTCGATTGCACGGTTCGGCCGATCTGGCGATCTTTGACATCTGATCCCATCGATCTCGTCGCGGATCGTTCTGATGTGGTCGATCTCGCGATTGTGCTCTTCGGCTTGAGGTCGGGCGATCTATCGACTAAGATATAGGGTTTGGCTTTCGCCGATTTGGTTTTCACCATTGGATTTTCATCCAGCAGATCGCTCTTTGCAGAGCGATCTGCGGTGGCCCCCGAAGGGACCCTAGGAGGGAATTGAGGTTTATCTTCCAGATCGATCTCTCGATCTTCCTCTTTCATTTTCATTTCATCAGAGCCCCTCCCAAAACTCTGATGATCTGAGGATCTTGTGCTTCTGCGTGTCTGCGTCGATCCCTTTGTCGCTGACACTTCAATCCCAGGTTCTTGCTTAATCTTGACATCTTCGCCAGTGGACTCACGGTGAAATCCAGAGGCCTCAGAAGATCCGGGCACGCGCACCATTGTGGTGAAGTCGATCTCACAAAATTGCTTGTATGAGTGTCGATCTTCCACTTGCCCAGACTTGCCGACTCACGGAGGGGGTACTCCGATCCGTGCCTTGTTGTATGACCTTGTGCTCACCTTGTGTACCCGTCGGTTGGGCTGGCTTGAGCTCTTCGTAACGGCCTTGGGAGATGTCGATCTCGCTGAGAGGTTGGGTTGAGGGTTCGCTTCCGGTGCGGAAATCTTCACACCACGAACGGGGGTTCTGCGATCCCGATCTTGGATCGCACCGATCTTGATTTGTCTTCGAGATCGGGGTCTTTGCTGTGCGGAAATCTTCACTCAGCAAATAAAAGTCCTGCGTCGATCTTGCCTTGGGATCGGTCCGATCTGGTCTTGGGATCGGCCGATCTTGCCGGAAGTGCGCAATTTGGGTAGATCGGTGTCTTGTTTCGCCAAAATGAAACGTGCCGATCTGTCCAGGGGATCGCTTCGATCCTGCTCGGTCTTGTCTTGAACGCCTTGTCCAGATCTTCTGACCACTTGAGCCGTCTCGCGATCCTGTGTCCAAAATCCTTTTCCTTTTCCGTTGTGTGCTGCTACCCTAGCAGTTGAGTTGAGTGTGAGTACTTGATCGATCCGGGCCAGATATCCCGGGATCGCTCTTCTCGATCTTGGCCAACAATCCAAGATCGGTCTTCTGTGTCCCTGTAACACGCGTGCCTTAACCCGCCGGGGAAGCCAAATCAATCTTGCCTGGAGAAGAGGGGAGGATTACGTGCGTCGTGAGCAGAAGAAGTAGAGTTCAAGTCTGTTTATTAACCAACCAAATTACTATCCAACCTACCCTTAAGCCTATTTTTAACTGTAGGTCACTCTTCAAACCGATATCGCCTTGAATCTGGATCGCCCCCTTGCCACGTGTCGAAATTTCGTGCCCTGTACTCCAATGATAGCGCCAATATTCCCGATACCGTACCTGAACGCCAAAAGAGGACCAAATCCCAAATGGGGTACCAAATACCCATTTTTGGTACCCAAAAGCCCAAAATAGTGCCCAAATGCCGAAGGCGTCTAAATCCATTTTGCGACGTCAATTCGGACAGCTTCCACTGGCTCTTTCGGCATGAAACTTCTTGACATCACTTAGTGACCTCTACCAAGTATATTCCACATGATCCAGTGTCTTCATCAACCATATATTCATGATCAGTGTGGAACATGACCGATCTGTCATCCAATATCGAGATGTTGGAGGTCGATCCGGTCTAAATCGGCAATTAACACTTTTTTATCTCCTCATACGTGCTTCAATATCATCCTCCAGTGTTATCCAATCGACAACTTCATTCATACGTCTCGACATCGGTTTCCTTGACTCCCCTGAGTATGCAAAACTTCCAGATCGCGGGTATAATTAACCGAAATCAGTACTCCCAATTTAGGATCGGTAAAGAGTATCACCGATCCGTATGGTGTTGCACCTTCTTTGCCGATTCACCGACCTGTACCACCTGGTCCCAGATGCCTTTTTGGGAGTCACCTTGTCCCAGATATGTCAATTCTCCAACAAACCGTTGCCACAACATGCCGATCTGCGATCTGATCTTAGCCTGCTTCAATGTACGTATACTTCTTCTTGACCGGCATTCCAATGAGCTGTATGACTTCATCCCGACGTCTGGTTCCAAATCGCCCCATAACATTCTGCAAGGTGTTACACCTTCGTCGCAGAGTCATATCCCATCACCCGGTCCCAGATCCTTGTCCCAGATTGTTCCATGTAAATCGTTCCAGATCGCTCCGTCCCAGGTCGATTCACACCCATTAGTCTAACGACAGTTGGACCGGTTCGCCGATCCCGTTAAGATCATCTTCCACCTCCGTATTGGATCGCCGAGTCTCATGGCCTCCTTTTCCACCAGTAAGCGGCGCTTTAAAGGTGTGGCCACCGATCCTCGTACAAAATTTGAGTAGTGACTTTGCCACACAGTGGTGCACCCGCCATGACACCACTTCGCAACGAGGTGCAAATCCTTCCGTCGGCACGGTCGCGAAGAGCGGGATCAAAAATGCCTACGTCTCGCCCTTGAGTAGTTAGCGCATAGATACCTCTGAAATCTGTGAAATGGATCACTTGTCGTCGACGACAAGTGATCGTTATCGAACACGGTTGTTTGATTCGTCAAGGATCCATCACTTGACCCCAGCGCGAAAAACTATCGCGCTGAACATTAGTTCTTTATCGATGTTTTCTTTAGACATCGATGGTACAGTGGGAATCACAAGCGTCATGGTCTGGTCACAACTTCAAGCGTGGAACGCCTACATCCATAACCTTGAGGATGTAGGTCGTGACGCTTGGAACGACAAACTTATCAAAGCACGTGATAAGTTTGAAAAGAGAACCCCGACAGGTGCACGCTACAAGCTGCATCGTCTGGCAAGGGAGAAGGGATTACCTGCCTCTCATGGGGAGACTCGTGCCCATGTTGTGTGAACAAAGCTGCACGAGCAC